GGTTGGGATGATTTCTTGGCCCTGGGTCCTGAAGGGGCTGGGGTCAGAAAGAACTGAGCAACGTAGCTGAGACAGACTTGAGCACTCATTTCTTTTCCAGACCCCAAAACAGGGCCCCCGGGCAGTCAGCCCAGGACTAAGCTCCCCTGGCCACCAGGACACAGTGGCAGGTCCTGGGGGAGCAGGCGTGGAAGCACGGCTGCAGCGGAGGCAGCTCCCAGCCCTGGCCTCCAGGCGTACTTTGTGAGAAGTCACACATTAATGTCACGTGGTCAGCAGCAGGCTGTAGGGGCAGCTATGGGCCGAGGCCAGCACCATAGCTGTGTGCTCAAGTGGCACAACCACCCACCACCTGTGACCTAGGCATTAGGTGCAAATGGGCCCCATGGAACATGCTGCAGCCAGCTCTGCTCAGAGGCCCAATGGGCAGAGGAGGCCCTCCCCCTGGGTCTCTGCTTTCCTGACTGGCCAGTCTGACAGAGTTCTGATCTTCTGCAGGGAGGGAGCACAGCCGGCAATTCTGATTCTCGACACAGAGAGCCAGCTAGCCCCATGGCAACTGCTAGCCTCTGTCAGGTGGGCCGTTTGACAGCAGTGCTTTAGTTACATGACCTCCTTTCAGCATAAAAGGCCAAGTACTTTTAACTTTAAAAAAGTGGTATGGAAGAACCTATTTGCAGGGTAGGAATAGAGACGCAGATGTTAAGAACAGACTTGTGGCTTCAGCAGAGGAAGAAGAGGGGCGTGAATTGGGAGACTGGCACTGACATGTACGCAATACCATGTGTGAAATAAATGGCGGGCGGAAGCTGCTGTATGCTCAGTGCTTTGTGATGACCTAGAGGGTGGGCTGGGGGAGGCAGGGAGGGAGGCTTACGAGGGAGGGAATATATATGTGTGTGTATATATATAGCTGATTCACATGGCTGTACAGCAGAAACACAACCCTGTAAAGCAATTATCCTCCAATTAAAAAAAGAAAGTAAATAAACATTTTTGAATTTTAAGTATTTCATGATACTTACAAAACCAGGGTAAAAACCCACTGATGTAAGTTCTGAAGCACACCCATGCAAGAGTCAAACCAAAAGCACACGTGACATTGTTAGATAAGAATCTCCTTAAAATTTAATTGACTAAATGTATTACATTCAATATTCCATGGGTTTCTTCTGGACAAAGGGTCTGCATAAATACAAACAAGCCTCTGGGCCTTCTTCCCTAACCGACGAAGAGGAAACACAGGAGGCGAGGGTACACGGGACACCTTCATATTTACATTTTGCCTTTACTTTACAGTTCAGTGCCAGAAATATTTACAGAAAATACAATAAGAAAAAGATCATGTCTTGGCAACATACCAAAATTCATACAAATTGTGTATATGATTTCAAGCAAATAATGATACTGTTTATTTTTAGCCACAACTGCCAAGCCCTTCAGAGGAGAAAGATGTTCTTGGTCACTGCAAGAGACAAGGACTTGGGAAACTTGGTTTGCTTCAACAAATATTTATTGGGCGCCTACTGTATGCAAGGCACTGTGGAATCCCAAATTATACCTTTCCCTCACCGTTAAAAAAAGAAAAGCATCTGAAAAAACATGAGTTGATATTCTGAGAAAAACACTATACAGTACATGGCTTCTTTTGCTACTGAGAACCCACAGTTTGATTCCACGCTAAATGGGTGGATTACCTCCCATCTCTCCATGTCGGGACAAGAGGTTGTCATGGAAATCCCTAAATCAGACCATCTAACACAACTCACCGCTTTATGTAAACATGCGAACCATTCTTTTTGGAAAAATATAACCAGAACAGGTTTTAAAATGCTGAATGAAGAACCAGCAGGAGTGTCAAATTACCTCTGATACATTTTTTTACTGTCCAGTGCGAAACAGGTCTTTGAGCAAGGCCGACTTCCACTTTCTTTGGGTAAAGTTCTACCTTCCAATGCAAGTTAAGTACTCTTGAAGACTCTGCTTCTCTAAAAATCACTCTGCAGAACTCGACAAATGTTTCCTCAGTGTATATAGGAAGTAACCACTCATGAAGGCTTCACATGTGCAACCTGTAGGGAACTGACGTTACTGGCCCAGAGACGTATTTTGTTTTATAGAGTCCAAAGGGCTGCCTCAGGGCAGCTGAGGACGTGTAAATGCAGGACAGCGTGCATGCGTGTTGTGTATGTATTGCCAGGAAGAGAGGGGGTCAACCTACCAGTAACGATTCCTGTCAAAGGGCCAATGGATAGGAGGGGTTCTCAGGAAGAAGCACTGGACAAAGAGAGCTGGCTGAACAGGAAAACGCAAAAGCACTCCTCAGCGTCCTTGGTGCTCTCAGGCAGACAGGGGGAGAGAGCCCCTTCCCCTCAAATGTGAGAAGGGACTACGAGGGGCTACCTGCCCCTGGCCCTTGGGTAATACACTCCCCGTCACCAATGTGACACTCATCCACGACCTGGTTCACCTGTCACAGCGACCGAACTGTCCAAGCCAAAGACCCCCCAAAGGTTCTGAACCTCTGTGAGCAAACATCAAGTGGACTATTAAAGGTTGTTCTTGGGACTAAATATGCCCCTCTGGCGTTATTCTACTCAAAGTGATTTTTACAAAGGCAGTTGAGAGATCTCAGTGACTATGAAACTCACACCTACACTAGTGAAAGGTCCAAGCGTACTCACCACACTCCCTTTTTAGGTAGATGTGAATTTGAGCAGAAGGAGCCAGCACCTGATGAAGTGTGCGTACCCTGTATTCTGTGCTGTATATACTGGGGTTTCATGCCTCTGGGAGCAGCACAGCCCTGATTCCATCCCGTCTTCCCTGGAAGACCACAGAGTCTTCCAGATCATAAAGGCACTCAACACAGTTGTTCTCTGACTTATCAAAGCCATTAGAATTACAAAGAGTTGTCAGAAATCAGAGCAAACTGAAGCATCATGAAGCCCACCACTAACACGTACACCACAGTACGCTTTCCTGACAGTAGAACTATGCCAAAGGTCAAAGTGTCATCTCAAGGGTCACACTGAGGAGGCATACTTACACCAGCTATTTTTAGCTTCTGGAATGTTACAAGTTGCACATTAATTTATAGCCTTCTTTGCCCACACCTATCAGAAAGAAGGGCCCATTTTCCCCCCAAGAAATGTCAATCTGGAATTTCCATGAAAGTTGTTAAACCTCACTCTATAGCTTAGTAGCTCGGCAACTAATTTAAGAGTAGAACTTACTAATCATACATCCCCCTCCCCCACTGCTACCATCTAGGAACATCAATTTATTATTATTATTATTATCTGGGGGAACATCAATTTATTGCCCAGATTAAAAAGAAAATCAAATGTTATACCCTGAATGGAAACTGGAGTCACAGAAGGAGGAGGTTACCTTTACCTGAGCTTAAAACAAACAGGAAGAAAAAAGGTGAGGCAAACTTGGAGACCTGCTATGGCCACATTTCTTGCTCCTAGATATCAATATATACTTCTGGAATAGAAATAATCTGCATTGGGAGTTAGGTCCTACACTATCCCCTGTCCTCTAAGTAAACTACCGAAACATCGAACCAAACAGCTCACTGTAGTCCTGACCTACAGAATCTACTGACATCAGAGTTCAAGTAGGAAATCACCCCTTATACAATTGTGATCATTCCTCTTTGGACTTTTAAATGTCACTTATCTTCTTAGCACAAAATAACCTTAATAAAAAAGAAAATAACATAAATATTCTTATGTTATTCTTAATAAACCTAAGAATAGGAGAAATGAGCAGTGTACACCCTAGCACTGTAACAGGAATCCTTGTAAGGGTGTTCTGGGTCTGGCCACCTCAGAACATTTATCCCCGGCAGGAAAGTAGCAGCGAGGTAACAGAAGTATTTCAAACACCCGGGCAAGGATCTGCCGCGCCTTCAGCTGGCGAAGTCCAGAAAATATGACAACAGCTGCTTCTGAAAGCGGCCAGCCCAGGAGGTGGCCTCTAATGTTTGTCAACTATGATGAAACCCAGCAGCTCTCTAGAGAGCTGAATTAGGAGCATGGAGAGGCTATTTCCTGAGCCCCAAATCAGAATCCTTCATAAACTACTGCAGTTTCCTGCTTGGTCCTGAAATGAGAGACAAGGGATGAAACCAAAAAATGTTTAAACCTGCGCCATGAATTTATATTTCTTACTGTTTAACCAAGAAATTATTACAGACAGTTAACCTGTTGTTTTGTCTCTGAGCTAGACAATAATGAAGAGGGGGGAGGTGTCACTTCTGACTTTTAACTCCACAAACTCCATCTGTATCCCTGTTAAAGGACCAGGCCGTGCCTCCATTTCAGATCCGTTCCTGGACTGCCCAGAAACTGAGGCCTTCAGACAGACCTTTGCAGTGATGAGAATAACTTTTTGAAATCTAGAAACTATGAAATATTTTAATATTAGACTGAGCAAAAAACACTTCTGTTCCTTTCTGTCAGTACGATTGTTGGATGACAGATGGATGACAAATGGACCTACGAGTGAGCAGAAAGTTGAGATCTCCTTCCTTCTCCTCCATGCTAGCAACATGAGTCTTTAAGTGTCCTGGACGATTCTGAGACAGATTTTAATTTTGAACACAACCTCCTAAAAAGTGAGGTATAAAACTATCTTCAACTTCTAATTTGCAAATTTGAAACTACCAATGCACGTGTTTGAGATGCAAAAAAGCCTTTCTCCTCAAAAGGCTTGTAATTTAACTAAAATTGTCACTTTTGAAAGAAAAGTTTATGGCTAAAATGTGTATCATCATTACCAGCAGGAATATGATTGTGTCTGGGAGCCCATTTCACTAGAAAGCCAAAAAGTCTTCTCTCAAATGGGTTTATAATGTGTCTCTTCTATTCCGGTGATTATACAGTAAGCTCTTGGGGAGTGATTTATTTTTACAGTGATCACCTATCAAATTGCTTTGCTTTGATATTATAGCCCCAACTAGAGTTCAACAGTCCTAAACAGATAGTGGTCTAAGAACTGCAGTTCTTGAGTCCAACCTCCTGAAAAAGTGAAGTGTAAAACTCTGGCTCCAACTGTTTATTCCGGTACTTGTTGACAATGTCGGTGATCTTCTGTTTCCGGCGGACATGTGGTGGGCTGTAGGAGTCACTCTCCAGTCTCTTTCTTCTACAAATATTAATTACAGTCTGCCTCACCAGAAAACCTTGAAAACAGAAGGTTTTCATTCACATCAACGTGAATAAACAGGTAGGTAGGTGAACTATAAGTATTCAAGCAAACTATTTTCGGCAAACTATCTTATTCCATTTACACAACTCCTCACAGAGACAGATAAAACTCAGAAGAAACACAATGATGAGGAAAAACAGAATCAAACTCTAGCCTGACAACCCATTTCCTGCCCTGGATTACAAACAGACTATATTCATTTTCCAATACTGGAAGTCTGTGAATTATAGTTCTGCTCGTACTTACTAGATTGAAGCACACTTCAAAACAGAACAAAATATGCTTCCTCTTATAAATAAAAGCCATAGTATTTTCTACATGTGGGACCTATTAAGTAATATCACCATTTCCTATTTCTACTTCTTTCTGGTTCATAAAAATGTTAAATAAAAAGAAAAGAAAGAAAGAAACTTCAATCCTTCAGCTACACATGAGGCTTACCGAGCGCTCGCCTACTGACAATCATCCCGTCCACGAGAGGGATGACCATGTTAAATTTTCCAGTGGCTCCTTGAATTTTTATCCGGAATAATCCAGTGTTTAAAGGGTGGATGAAGATGACAGGAACTTCTTTTTCAAGAGCAGTAGATCTTAAGAAAAGAAAAGAACACTCCTTTTACTTCAGATATTCAAGAGCTGTAGCCCCCCATGTGTGATGTAAGAATACCAAGGGAACTACTGCCAGGCAGTGTTTAGATGAGCCAAGTGATCAGTCTGCTCAGAAATCTTCTTTCTGGGAGGCCATGTGGAAGCCCCCGCACCAACATCTGGCCCTACATGCTCATCACTCGGGTTAGCCTTTTGAAGCTGACAAAAACAAGGGCCTAAAATTGTGCTTAGAAAACCACTGGGGACGCCGGGTGGAAGCAAAGGCCAGAAAAAACACATCGTGCGGAATAATCAATCTAGCAGCCAGCTGTAGGACTTTCACTCAGGTCCTCCTTCTTGCAGGGAACAAATATGGAGCTGGCCAGAGGCAGGGAATTCTACCATGTTCAAGACTAGCACCTCAGAGCAAGTGGGAATGTAGCTTAGGCCTACGAAGGGAATCCCTGACATAATTTTTTAGGGGCTGGGGAAGGAGGCTGGGAGCACCTTAGTCTGGGGCAGTTGCAGGTGCCCTCCTCAGCAGAGGTGAAAAATGGCTGAATTTTGACACAGCCAAACCTCAAAGCCTCTGAACAGGCAACAGGTGCCAAGGCAAGCAACCACACCCATAGGAGACTGAATGACATGTGTGTTGGGGATATGCCAGTGCATCTAGACATACCCATGTAACTCTCTGATGCTATTTGTCAGGGTTTTGGTTTGTTTTTGTTTTGTAACACAATGAGCCTTCTTTCTAAAGTGATTTTGGCCAAAGCAACAGAGTCCATTTTTCAAGACATCTAATAAAAATCAATCCTATACTAATTCTGTCCCCAAGACAAATTCTAAACTTTGCTAAACTACTAGTAAAATACAAATTTTACAGTCCAAACATATTATAGCACTTTTGACCTAAAAAGTAAAACAACAACAAAAAACAGCACAAGACACTTAAAAGTTCTCTTCTAAACTAGTTCAAGTAAAGTTTACCTCATGAAATCTATTCTGGTCTCTTTAGCAAGTCAAGTGTCAAAAAAGAAAGCTAAAAAGGAGTTAGAAAAACAGGACTGTTCTGTATTAAAAGAGACCTGAAGGAATGAGTACCGGATACAAGGCTGAAATGGGTGCTGGTTTAAACAAACCAGCTGCAAAGACTATTTTAGGGGAAATGGAGAAATCTGAATATGAACTGGCTACCAAATGAAATTAAGGAACTATGATTAACTTTATTACTCTGATAGTTATCTTTATATATTTGAATAGTTAATTTTTCAGAGGTGTATACTGATGTATTCAGAATGTTAGAAAATCTGTAGTTTGCATTAAGATACTTTGGCATAAAAAACAGAAATTTTAGGAATGATTTGCCCTATTCGAGAAATTTAACATGATAATGTTAAAATAAATCATCTTTCTAACGTTAGACTAAATTCATTTTATATGCAATATAAACCAGAACGTGGAAAATAGAAGGAATTTACTCAAAGCTAAAATATCAAGTTAAGCTTGATATAAATTATTTGTTTAAACAAAAGACAAGACAAGCAAAAAGCTTTGAGATGATAAAGCCTGCACAGACGCATTTTTACTATTCTGTTTTTAATCCATTTTTGTGCATGAGCAGCTAAAATAAAAATCTTAATATTATAATAAAGTTAGTATCCTGTTTTATTTAGAAATATTTTTCCATTAAATAGCTCATGTGATGAGGATACTTTAACTGCTATCTATCCAGAATGTTTTGACCAATGTAACTCCATTATTTCCATCTAATACTGCTACTCTATTATCACTCTTCATTAATACTTGTCTCCACTTTTCCATCTTTCTGCCTCAGATAAATGCAAAACAGCAATTAATTATGCCATTTAAAAATCCCTGCTAATTTGATCACCTTGTGCATTTATCTACAGACTTTTTTGATTCTTTCCCCATAATTATGTTTACTTCTTATTGCCTTCATCCCTTTCGTTTCATTAAAGTCATTATTTCTTAATTAAATTACAATCACCATATTATAAAAAATAGCTTTCTCTATGCTTAAAGTCAATATTGATAAACTTCAAGCAAGTAAGGGAGTACCTCAGAGAAGTGCTACTATTCGCAGTAGTTTCCACACCAGTACTGATTTCTGTCATCAGGTCTGAGAGGGGAAAGTTTTCTGGAAGAAAATCATGGCATTACATTTATTTATTTTTTTTTTTTCCATTTATTTTTATTAGTTGGAGGCTAATTACTTTACATCATTGCAGTGGTTTTTGTCATACATTGAAATGAATTAGCCATGGATTTACATGTATTCCCCATCCCGGTCCCCCCTCCCACCTCCCTCTCCACCCGATCCCTCTGGGTCTTCCCAGTGCACCAGGCCCGAGCACTTGTCTCATGCACCCAACCTGGGCTGGTGATCTGTTTCACCCTAGATAATATACATGTTTCGATGCTGTTCTCTTGAAACATCCCACCCTCTTAATATCTCCCTTCAAGAAAACTGAATTTCCTAAACTCTTTACATAGCAGACAACAAATATATGGTCTTTGTTCTCCTAAAACATATAGTCCTAAATATTCCTCACAAATTAAAAAAAAAAAAATCCCTCAAGGCGTATTTTAGAAAAGTTCATCTAAAGCAGAGAGTTTTTAAAGAATGTAATCTATAGTCCTGGAGGGCTTGGAAAGAGCTTTAGAAGTGTTAGAAAGCAACCATTATACTTTCCTATGAACTCTGAGCGGAATGAGATTCTAGGGTAAATACACATTTCTAATGTTCTTATGCAGCTCACATAAAAATCATGAGAAACATATTCACAGTGGAATCCCTAAGGACCAATTAATCTGAAACAAGACTGTGGAAAGAGGGTTAGGAAGGTGAACTCCCTTCCCCTTTCCAGAGGTCCTGGGGTGACTGGGAGCCACATGAAGTGGGACCAAGTGGCCAAAAACCAGTATCTGCCATACCAAGAAGACCTAAAGGCTTTGTATCCATCAAATCTTCACGGCTGTGAAATAAGTGCCGGGTCATTCATTTAACACATTAGTCACCTAAGGCATAATGAAACCCAGGCTTCCTGAACTCCAGTCCCAGCTCTTGGCCACCATATAGGGCCTATGTTGCCACTCCTTTTAGACATTCAGCAAGTCACTGTCATCCTACCAAAATCTTGTTTATGGACAAAGTCCTTGCACAATACCTATATCATCATAGCGTTCCACCCAGACTACAGAAACTCTTGTCTCGGGTCCGAGGGGAGGCACAGGGCGACCCTGAGGCAGCTTCTTCATTCTGGAACTGGGACTGAGCTGTATGAGGCAGTAAAAAGGAGGAGAGGGTGGGAAAAAAACTGGCTTAATAAAACTACAATCATACATTCATCAAGCTACCCAGTGATGTAAGGATCAGATCATGGGAAGTCACTTCTGGAAAAAAGTATAAAATACATTTGCAAAAAAGCCCTTCTTTGGTTTCTCTGTTTATCAAGTCTCAAACTAGAACAAGGCAATGAAAGTCTAAAATATTCAAATAAAAAAAAGATAAGCAATACTGAACAATTATAACTGACATTAATAAAAACAAAATTTGCATGCTATGTCTTAATGAGGACTTAAGAGGATCTGAGTCTATCTCTGTGACCAGAAGGCAGTATGTTTTTTCCATCAGAGTAACATCATTGCTCCGCCTGGGGATCTTTTCAGTGTTGAATTCTTGTCAACTGCTTTTCCTGTATCTACTGAGGTAACGATACGGATTTTTTTTCCCCTTAGTTTGTGAGTAGTCTGCAAAGTATGTGGTAAATAAAAACATGGGGCTTTACCGATCTTGCTCTTCTCCAAACTGTATTCTGTGAAATCTTTTTTAAATGTAGCAACTTATGATTTTCAAAATCAGTCTACTTCAGAATTTTATACAAACTAACTTTTTTCCTAAATCAAATTTAAAGGCGAAACCCTTCCCATATTCTTTTAAGCAAATACTTATATTAAAAATAATTTTAAGTGTAGAGAGGTCCAAATTAAAATTCTTTACAATGGAAGAAGGGCTTCAGACAAGTTTGCACAACACTTCTTTGGTCTTTATTATTTATTCTACATCAACTGTCTTACATCTCTAAACTGATCCTATACTCTTCCTATACTACTTGGGTCAATTTCCAGTAAGGATTAGGAGATAACAGGAGGGGAGAACACAGACAAAGATGTAACATCCACTGATAAGGTAAGGAAAAAGTGTAAAACCAAAATGCTGTCTTCTTGTGGTAGCTGCTGCATCACCTCACTCGGTGCATTTATTCACACACTGGATTACTCTTCAAAATGCCATCATGTGTGCTGTCAGACTGAAGATGAATTTTGCATGAGTAATGCTATAAAATATATACTATTGTACATTTACTGGATATTTCAGGGACCAAATAATAACCTATACTTGAGAAGGAATGGGTGAAAGACCAAGCATGGAACCGAAATGACTAAATAGAGAAAAACAACAAAGATGGAATTAGAGTGAATCATCTGTTGCAAGCTGAAAAGAAGAAAATCATGAAAATTTGATTAAAAAAAATTAAGATCCTAATGAATTAGTACAGATATAATTATTCTCTGGGTTAAAGTTAAAAGCTTTTCAGGTGTGATTCTATAATTACCTAATTACCTTCATTTCACTACAAATTTCTGGAGATTAATCAACAAAGTAACTTACCCTCTGTGAGGAATTAAGATTGTCTGTGTGATTAGGGAAAAGCTCAAGTGTCAGGGATGGTTGTTTCAGAATTCCTGGCATAAGATCCATATTTGAATCACTATCTTGGTCTGAGATGTTACTTTCCAGTGAATCAGCTATAGGGTGAAGAAAAATATATATAAATAAAACACCTACTACTTCGTTAGAGCAAATGTGTTTATTAAACTAACTATGTTAACAGTACAACTTAAATTACTTAAGCAAAGCACTGCTTATGGAGCAAGGGTTGGCAAACCTTTTCTATAAAGGATCAGGTAATAAATATTTCAGGCTTTGCTGGCTATATAGGTCTTTACTGCATATTCTTCTTTATTTTATTTATAACCCTTTACAAATGCAAAAAACATTCTCAGTGTTTTGAATTTGGCCTGTGTGCCATAATTTGCTGGCTCCAGCTCTACTGAATTGGTGCAAATAAGCTGGGCCAGAGACACCAGGGCCAGACTCAGTCCATAGAAGACGGTTGGGGCCTGGCTTCTGGAATTAAAGCAGGAGATCACAGCCTTGACATGAAGGCAAAGAGCTGCTCAGACATTGGCCTAGACCATGGAAGGACCCTCCTTCCAGGGACACAACTGGCTCCAGAGAAGAGAAAGGGAGGAACCTCTAGTGCAAAATCAAGGGTCCAAGTACAAAGGTTAAGAAGCAGCCAAAGCAGGGTACAAGAAAAGTCATTAGCCCAGAAATGAGAAATGTGAAAGCATGATGTGCAGCATCCCATCCTATGGACGGTCTCATGGAGAAGGCGAAGCTTTCCATCTCCTGTCTGATCAGGCACAAAGTAATGTACTTAATTTGCAAGAAGCAAAGGTTCAAGGAAAAATAAGACTAAGAACTGAGACTGAGAGGTAATGATCACTCCTGATCCTTGAGAAGAACACACTTGATGGCCACCTTTTCTAGGTTGGAATTTCTCCACCTCGGTGTTAGAAGACTAGGCAGTTACCACCATGAGAGTCTCCAACTGCAGGATTCTCTGGGGTTCCACACAAAGGCTCTCACATGGAAACAGGGAAGCAGGTGGGGGTTCACTTATTAGAGAGAAAAATGAAAAACAGGGCTTCTAGGTATTAGTTAAACTAATCAGATTTGTTGTTGTTTAGTTGCTAAGTCATGTCCAACTCTTTTGAGACCCCATTAGCCCGCCAGGCTCCTCTGTCCACGGGATTTTCCAGGCAAGGATTCTGGAGTGGGTAGCCATTTCCTTCTCCAGGGGATCTTCCCAGCCCAAGGATCGAAACTGCGTCTCCTGCATTGGGAGGTAAATTCTTTACCACTGAGCCACCTGGGAAGTCCAATTAATCAGATTAAAGAAAGTTAAAAAAATGGGTCAAAGTGGATCTCCTTTGCTATTTAAAAATTATTATTAGAGGATCAGTCTTCTAGTCTTTTCCTACCTTCCTTTAGTTAAAAGGAACTAACACCCCATACCTCTGCATAATCTAAAAGCTATCATGTCTTTGAAGCTTAAGAATGTCTTAGATGACTTCAGAATCTCTCCCAGTACAATAATACTACACAAACCAGTGAATACAAAAATTGTTCCATACAAAAAAAACCCCAGTACCATAAAAAAAATTCTCTTACTTAAGGACTCCACAGGAGAAGGAACCACAAAAGCTATTTCTGTAAGGGCATCGGCATAATACAGCACCTTCTTCTGTCCGTTGAAAATGCTAGCCCCAACATCTTCAGAGGAAATCACTTCATCTACAAATGAGAAACACTACATTACTGCTCTAAAAAGTGGGGAAAACTAGTATCACCCTGCTACATGAAATTTTAACTGGTTAAAAAAAAGTAATAATAAATAAGAAGGTACATTTCCAACATGAACTAATGTGTAAGAAGAATAAACTATGAATGTTCATTAAATGGCTTAACACTAACTTTAAACAATAAAATCTTAATTTCATGGTTTCTGAAACTAAATCAGATCACTCCTGATTAGCAGGACCTTAGTTCATGTGTATCAGGGAATAGTCTTTTCGGAAGAGGTAACAGTAATTAAAAGAGAGACCACCCAGTCCCTCTGAAGGGAGGGGGGGCAGACGTCTGCCTGTGTGTACACTTGGTCACCGGCATTTCCGTCCCTGGTCACTCTACTGCTCCTCAGCTTTGCTTCTGTGCCATTTTCTCCAGTGATCAGTGATATAATATATGTACAGGCAACTTTAATCATAGTATCTTCTCTAAGTCAGCAAGATAGAATTAACCAAAATAACACTCTCGAGAGCTGGTACAGTTCTCCATTAAAATGAACACAATGCCCTACAAGTAATACATAAAAGACCAACAACCTGACAAAAAATTGGGAAGAGGAAATGAACAAGTAGTTCTCGGCTAAGAAATAAAAATATGAGAAGATGCTGAAACTCAATCATAATTAAAAATAGAAAGCTCCTCACCTAACAGACCAGAAGACACCTAATTTGGTGAGGAGGTGGCAAACGAAGCTTAGACCAGAATCTAGCAAGCTTTTTCTGCAAAGGATCAGATAGTAAATGAAGCTTTGCATGTCATATGGTCTCTGCCATGACTACTTAAGTCTGCTGTTGTAGTGTGAAAGCAGTCAGATAATGCATGAACAAGTGAGGCTGAGTGCCAACAAACTTTACTGACAAAGACAGGCATGGGCTGTAGGTGCTGGCTCCTGGTTTAGATGTTGGGCAGGCGTTGTGTCTACCACAGCAGACACTGTTGTTACTGCCCCAACACTCATTCTACCCGCCTCCTCATTCACATCTCTCTATCAGGGTCATTCCACCTCTCTTGCCACAGAGGTAGTCTAATGGTGGCTCATGGTGGTCTAATCACTGTGTATCTCTGGCTTTGGGAGAAGGGAGGTTCTGAGACCCAGCTAACCTTTCCTCTTTAGACTAGTGCGGTATGTGAATGGCTTTAGCCTGGAATGGCCTTTTTGTACTGTGAGGAAAGCCAGGATGGGACAAAGCCAACACATGGAAAACAGAGCTAAAAGAAAACTACAGAAAAATAGAACAGAAGTGCTGATCAAATGGCAACAAAACTGTGCACTAATCTCTGGAATTTTCAGTTATATGAGGCAATAAATGACCTTCAAAATCTAGCCCAGTTTGGGTCAGGTTTTCTGTTAGTTGCAATCTTAAGCATTCAAGTGATACATTTATACATTTTTCAACTTGAAAAATGTGCAAATCTTTTATCAATTCTACTTGTAGGAATTTAGTTGATAAATACACTTAAGCATAACTATTAAAGGTTATGCGGCAATTGAAATTAGAGCATATTCTCATATACTTTGATTCAACCTTGGTTGAAAGCAGGAGAAAACTATGTCACAAGTCACAATGATATTTAATGGGAAACTTAAGAGCATAATCTTGCTGACAGAGGAACTCTGCTAATTCAAAGCACTAGACAGAGTCATTCCCCACTTCGCAGAAGTATTATTAACTTTCCAGTGATTTCAAGGGCTCTTGGAACAGAAAGCTCCAGCCAGGTAGGGCAAAGGCCTTAAGTTTAAACTTCTAGTTGTTCTGGTACTTGCTATCCTGATTACAGTTCCTCAGGAGGATTTGCATCGATGTGTATGAGTCTCTCAGTCAGCTGTTTACTACAAAGGTTTTTTATATAATGTCCTAACAGTGTAACCTTAAATGATAGCCACAAAGTCTAAAAAACATACCTGCTAGTAGAAAAACTGTATTTATTAGACAAAGTATACTTGTTAGGAAACTACTGTTTGCTATAATCTAAATTTATTATAATATTGTTATAGAAAATGGAATTTATTCACTTCCACTATAAAACACTTACCAACCTTGTGATAATTAAGCCATTAATTTTATATTAGTTGTCATCATGTATGTATATAACATACATGCTTATATATGTACATACATAATTATTCCTCATATTAACAGAAAATGTTTGGAAGATGATACAATTATTAAGTGATCTCCTGTGAGGATGAGAGGAGAGAGACTTCTCCATTCCATACCTCTGCTTGTTTTTTTTCTTTCATAAGACTACAAATTCATATTAAAGGGGAAAAGCCAAGAGTAACAAAATAAGAAAAAAAAATGACCATATGAGATTTACCTTGTTCAGGTCCTTCACCATCATCGCAACTGTTAATAGACCAACTGGTGGAAACATGCCCAGTCCAGCCAGGGTGTTTGCCCACATCTACTGACCAGCCAAGGGAGAGCAAAAATTCTAGGAAATGTGGCTGAACATTTCTGGAAGACTCCACATTCTTTAAAATCTGAAATACATTCCAATCATTAACTATAATGAAGGAAACAAAAGAGCATATCAAAGTATCTTCATAAAAATTCTCTTTGAAGTGTCTGACAAATCAAGTCCAAGCTGAGAATAAACTGAGGACTATACATATGACTGCAGTTAAATATGCATGCTTCTGGGTTATATAGATCTGGGTTCAAATCCTGGCTGGGCTTTGGGCAAGTTTCTTAACCCCACTGTTTAAGTTTCTTCATCTATAAAGTGAATAATAATGATGGCTGTGAAGATTAAGTGAGATAAAGCTAGAAAATCCTTTAACTCTCTCCCTAGCAAAATAACTATTGAGCCAGACATGTTTACTAAAAGTAAACAAAAAATACTAGGTCACTGCCTTCACATAGGTATGTGATTATTTACCTACAAGTCTTGACAAATGCTATAAAAAGCACAAACCTATTAAAAATTCAATAATGACTAGCTATAATTAATAAATGAGTGGGAAAACATTCTTCTCTGGGTTCAAAGAAGCAAATACAACCATCCCAGATAACAATGAAGGCTCTCTCCTCTTCACCAGGTACCAAATTTAATTCCTGGGCCCCAGAAAGAAAAGTTCCTTGTTCTAAAACAGCGGTTCTCATGAGGTGGATTTTGCTCTCCAGGGGACATCTGGCAATGTCTGGAGACATTTTTGACATCACAACTGGTGGGGCACTGCTGGGATCTAGTGAGCAGAGGCCAAAGATGCTGCTACATGTCCTATTTTTATAGAACAGCTCCCACAACAAGAATTATTTGGCTCAAAACAGCAACAGTGCTGCTGTTCAAAGTCCAATGCTAGAAGAAGGAAAATGAGAAATCCTCTACAAATTAAAAATGAAATGGGGAGAAAGGTAGTGTATCAAAATCATCCAGGGAGTTTCCTAAACATGAGACTTTCTTAGCCTACTCCAGAACCTCTGTATCAGATCAGCAGAGATAAGATCCTGGAATTACTACTTTCAAGAGGTCTCCCAAGTAACTTTTAATGTAGCCAGCCCACAGATCACTGATGTAGTTCATACAATGCTAACCTGACAAAGTCAAAATATGGGGTTACATCAAACACTTCTCAATCTAGTGGGCATCATTGCCAGGCCTCATCTCTTAAACACTTCTCTTCAGAAGTGTACCTATTTAGTTTCCCATGTCCCTTCATAGTCTTATAAGTGACAGGAAACTGACAGCCAGTTTTTGTTTTCTCCCAATTAATTTTTATTCAGAGGTGAGACTTTTAAACAATTTCAAAATGTAGCCAAGATACAATAAGTAAGTTAAATTCAACTAGCAGGCCGCTGACTGACAGCTAGAAATTCATCTAAATCTTCCCTGTGGGGCTAGGGAAGGCAGGACTCAGCCATTCTAAAGGAGGTCTCTGGGAATCTAATTGTTTTCTAGTCACCCTTGGTCCCTAAAAAGCTAAGGAAACTCAACTGGTGTAAGAATTACCTCAAGGGTTTGTGTCTTCTTCCATATGTAGGAAGAAAATGGCCCCACTACTCTCATATGAACCATGCATTAGACTTCCTTCAAAACAGATCCCCACCCTCTGCATTTAATCCACTTCTACTGAGGATCTTCAAAAAAACTTGAGTCTATAAGTCTCATCTCTGGCTACCAGTAGCCTCCCAAGCTCTAAACAAATTGGAACCAATAATGAATTTTATGAAAATGAAATTCTCTCTCACCTCCAGGGCCTTTACACATGCTGTTTCTTGATTAGTGACAACCCACTTCTACCTTTTAACCTACTGTCAATGTATACCTCATACCATTAGCTTAAAAGTCTTTTCTTCCAGGAAGTTTCTTCTAACCAGGTCAGGTTTTCATGTTACAGCTCCTGTAACATGTTCCTATCAGCACACTTTATCACAGTTGTGTGTTTAATCATCTGTCTTTCCCTCTACACAGTAGTTCCATTAGTCCAGAAATCTTATAGATCTTGTTCACCACTAGAACCCAAGCACCTGACAGCAGACACTTAGTAAGTATTTACTGAATCATTAACATGAAATGAGAAGACTCTTCTCCTTTTCTAGTAGTTTGCCAATAATCTGAAATATGCTTCTAGTATAAACATTTTGTAATTCTGGTAAATTTCTTCAAGTGTGTTTAATCTGATTGGCTAATGGTCTTACAATGATTATAGTGAAAGTCCAAGATAATACAGTCATAGTGCTCTATACATGTGAATACATTCTATTTATTACACATCTATCTTCCTTTGCTCCTCTCTTAGTCACAGCTGGTAACTACCTGTCCAATCCATGTTTCAACCATTTATCTCTGTAGACACTTGATCTCCTGACATTTGCTCTCAGTTTTCTGTTCTCACCTATCTTATATTTGTCTTCATCCTTCTCCTAGTCTCTTTGTTACATGTATCCAACTGTGTTTTACTTATTTTGTTTTTATCCTTTACTTTATTTCAGATGTTCTTCTCCTACTACTGTGCATACCTTGACTAAAATTATTTCCTTGTGAAATTACCTGGAAGTGAGTTCCTCAAGAGGAAAGGGTATTATCACTTGTACACTTGGGCACATTGAGGGAGCCACAGGGAAGATGGTCAGTAAACAGTTGTTGCTGGGCAGTAAGGCCCTACTTTAGCTTTTCATGGTTAACTTGTGTCTTAGGAATCTGAATTCCTTAAGGTAAGAAAGACATGCTCCAGCTCTTCTCTACATCACATTCACTGAGAGTCAAAAGACTCAAGACTCTAGGCATCATAGTTTTCATTTAACTCAGTTTCTGAACTGATTACAAGAAATCTTTAAGGATCAAGAATAACTCACCTTCCACCATAGAGAAGTGCAAGTCATGTAAATTTTTTTCAATTTACAGCATAAAAAATTACCCCCCAAATCCAGAAATCTTACCTCCTGGTTTGTTTTCTGACCTGGTTTCATATAGAAAATAAAAACTGTGTCAAAGGGACGACATGGCAAGAGATCCAGATACCCAATGTCATCAAAAAATCCAGGTATCGTGGAGTCAAGTGCAATAAGGTGAGGAGGTAGACGACTGTTTGCAGGTTCCTACCACCAAAGGAAGAAAGGAGAAGGTATCATCTCTTTGCGCTATCCTAATTATAAAAGCAATACTTACTCATGGTTTAATAAACATTAAGCAAAAAAAAAAAATTAAAAAGTGACAGGAATAAGCAGAACCATAATCCCAAACGACAGATACTTTTAACATTCTTGTGTACTTCCTTCCAGTTCTTTTGCCTTTTTTTGTTAAAGACGGTTGAGATCATAATATGTATTTAATTTAAAATCCAATCTCTCTGTAATACACCAAACTTTCTAGAAAAAATTTAGTATGTATTTTACTCTTATTCATTGCTGGTGGAAATGGAAAATGGTACAGCCATGCTGGAAGACAGTTTGGCAGTTTCTTGCAAAGCTAAGCATAATCGTACTATATAGGGCAGCAACCGCATAACTTGACATTTTCCCATATGAATTAAAAACGTCTACTCAAAAACCTGCATACAAATGTTTGTAACAGCTTCATTTGTAATTGCCAAAACTTGGAAGCAACCAAGGAGTCTTTCTGTAGGTGAAAGTATAAGTAAACTGTGATAAATCCACACAATGGAATGTTATTCAATGATAATAAGAAGTGAGCTATCGAGTCACAGAAAGACATGGAGGAACCTGAAATGCAAACTGCTAAGTGAAAGCCAATCTGAAGAGACTACATACTATATGATTCCAACTATACGACATTTTGGAAAAGGCAAAACTGTCAGACAGCAAAAGATCAGTAGTTGTCAGGAGTTGGGGGAATTTCCAGAGAAGTGGAGGGATGACTACGAAGACTACAGTGGACTTTAGGGCAGTGAAACTCTTCTCTACAGTGCTATAATGGTGGACATATGTGATTTCATATTTGCCAAAACCCACAGAACTGTACAACACAGAGGGAGCGCTAATGTAAACAATGGAGTTCAGTTAATAATCCATCTGATACTGGTTCGTCAATTGTTACATATTATGTCACAACAATGCAAGATGTTAGGAGAAACTATGTGTGTGGAGGAAGAGAGGTTATATGCAAACTCTCTATACTTTCTACTCAGATGTTCTGCAAACCTAACTGCTTTAAAAAACAGTCTATTAATCTTTATGCATTTCTTGTTTTGTTCCCCCCCCCCCATCCCTTATCTTCTTTGAGATCTTGATCTTGACCAGCAGGTGTGTCATCCATGATATTTTTCAGGAAAGCATCCCTCAGAGATAGCAAGGATTGTTCTTTTTCTACTCCAAACAAGGGCTGAGGCAACACCCTGTCATTAAAGACACCGCTATTTCTGCAGTCAAACAGAAGAGGATTCACACTATGAAAAAGACTACAGATAGCCTCATCTCAACTCAGGTCAGATTTTCCCACTAAAAGAATTTTCTACAAACATACAGAAAGCGTTCTGCGTTTCATTTTTCGCTTTGAAATCACGGAGAAGGAGCCGCGGTCTGGCAGTGTGCTACAACACACCTTATAGGACAAGGGCTCCTCATTCTTTTGTTAAAAAGCTACCTCATCAGCTTGTTCTTCTGGATGATCTTCTAATTCAGGAACGTAACATGCACGTACTTGATATCTCTTAATAACTTCTTAGAGTTTTTTCCTCTAGGTCTGTGTTTTTCCTAATAAATTTTGTTAGGATAACTTTTGTCAGTATCACAGTTGCAACAGAGTTATTTTGCATTGTATTTCAACTGGATATTAACCGCTATAGTCATTAATATTTGCACTTCATATGTGGTGATCTTAACTTTCATTTACTTTAGACACTCTACTGATTCTCTTTCTTGTTGTCATTCAGTAGGTCAGTCGTGTCTGACTCTGTGACCCCATGAACTGCAGCACGCCAGGCTTCCCTGTCCTTCACTATCTCGCAGTTTGTTCAAACTCATGCCCACTGAGTCGATGACGCCATGGCTGTCTAATTAGAAATCATATTACCTGGGAATTGTCTTTTTCTTTCCAATGGTTTTTTCCCTTATTTAGTTTCTTTTAGCATTTCATCGACATCGACCTTTCTATTCTATTATAGTCAGGTAAGATGTTACTCACTGGGGGAATCTCCCTACACATTTTTTTTTTTAACATTTCCTCATTCTCCATCTTGTTTCCTAAATGGGCTGCCATTTACACAGATCTGCATTACTGGCCCTGGTGAAGTTTTTGGCTGTTCATTCATTTTAAAAAATAAGACTAAATATTGTTTTGCTGAATACTGACTGCTTTATTGACTGATCTGCTAACAGAATCAAATTATTTTCTTAATAACTTTACTAATATTTACCAATAACTGACTCTCCTTTCGTTCCTAGGATAAACTTTATGTGGTTGTAGAAGTTAATTTAACGTGCTGCTGAATTCAGTTTTATTAGTATTTTCCTTAGTACTTTTGTACATACTTTAGCATGTGTGTTCTGTCAGGCTTAAGTTATTAGAGGAAAATAAGATTCATAAAATAAATCAGGCTACTTTCTGACTTTTTCCTATGTTCTGACCCAGGTAAGAAAGTACAGAATTATTTTCTTGAAAGATTAAACATTTCAACTACAGTAGATAACATGAAAGGAAAACTGCAATCTCAGAGATTTGTCTTGTCTCCATTCAGTCCACAGCACGCAATCATTTCCTTCTAAAATATTTTTATTTACTGCTTCTACTCTGTCCAATTTTCTCCACTAGGAATATCACTAATCATCTGTAAGGTTGTATCTTTGTTCCTTTCCTTCCACATTTACCCCTGCATTTCTCATTATTTTCCTCTTTTTGTTCTTTTCTTCTGCATTTTAAGAGTTTTTATTTTTTACTTTCCACCACTTATTCCATTTTCTACAACGTAAAATATTTTTCATCTACATGCTGAAATCCAAACTCAAGACAGCAATGTTCCCCTCTACGTTTCTTAAAAGTTAAATGGTCTTCAGCCAAGTAGCTGCTGGAGAGTAAGGCAGGGGGCAACTTGTGCAATAAGTGACTTCTTGCCTGGCAATCTTCAGTTGGGTTTTTCAAAACAAACAGGCCTTAGTATAAATTCTAAATTCACATACATGGAAGCTATTTCACATTTTTGGGGCCCTGTTTCTACATCTGTGAAATAGAGATACCACCACTTTCCTGGTAAAACTGTTTTAGTGAAATTATGAACAATGGCAACATTTACCTTACAGGCTGGCTGACTGCTCTGTGTACTACATGAAACCCCTGGCATGACCACAGTGAGATGACACCCTTATCACCCCTATTTCAGACATGAGGAGTTAAGACTCGGACGTTGGGTAACTTTCCCAAGATCACACAGCTGGTAAGTAGTGACGCCAGGGCATAAACCAAGACAGTCTGACCCTAGAAACTGCACAACCTAATAAGTGTTTATACTCATTCCTTTTCAAAAGTGGCATGAAAGAGCAGAGTCAACTGTAGCCCATACTTTTACTCATAAGTTTACTGGGGAAAACTTTTAACATTCTTTTTCTAACTGCTTACAGATGTCATTAATATATATAACATGAGTCCTACAGAACCTAGGAAAAGTTAGAGGTGGATACATTATCAAAGCAGCTCTCACAACAGAACTCTGAATACACTCATGGGAAAACTGTCTTGGAGCTCATATTGTAAGGTGCAGCATCACAGAGTTTTATTTCTTTGTATGAAAGGTAAGATTTTAAATATTTGTTTTTTTAAATTCTCCATCTTCACAAAAATGCTTTAGCTATCATCAGTTGAGTGTTAATTTATGAATATATTTACTCATAGAAGTTTATGAAAATTACCTTCAATGCTTCTAAAGACAAAAATCCAAAGTGTGAAAGGAAAAGACGTGCTGTTTGGAATTCCTGGGCAGGAGGTGGGGGCTTACAATCTGTAACTGGATCAGGAAAACTTCTCTTCTGCAATTCTTCCTCACTTTGTTGCTCAAGGTGTATTTCATAAGCGATCTGCTGGGCCATGCCATTCCTTAATTTTTCATGTCTCTCTTCTAACTGAAATAAACCGAACATTTCATTTTGGGGGAATTACCGTATCAGGATTAATCTTAATTTTTAAATCAAAATAAGGCCACAAGCAACAAAACAGAAGATAATTTTCAGTGATCAACACTGAGCTTCAATTCAACACAATCAAGAGCAAATATGCATAAACCAAGAGCAAAAATGTTTTAGAGTTAAAATAAAACCCCAAGAATGTCCCTACAGCCTCAAAAATGGCTCCTTTATCTCCTCGCTATAAGTGAAACCATTCTGTCTCTGCTTCCCTTTACACTGGCAAGAAAGGAGGCAGAGTTGCCATTCTCTGCCATGTCCCCTCCATCTTCCACATCACTTTCCCTCTTCTTCCAGACCCCTGTCCATCTTTGTCCTGCAAGGATCTCCTCATTCTTTGAAGTCCACAACTGCATGGATTAGCTGCTATACTCTTGGGAGTTACTTCTGCTTTCCTTCTGATCTATCCTATTTAAAATTTCATCCTCTTTGGTGAACAGCCTGGCCTACATTCCTACAACTTCCTCAACCTTCCCAGCTCTGGCCATCCGTGACACTCTGCACCTCAGATGAGAGCTCCAGTTCCGAAACCCCTTTCCCACAGCTCACCTGCACACCCGTTCTCCCTTCACCACTGCTGTGGGGTACACAACCCCTCTCTCTATTTCTCCAAGCCTTCTGGCTTCATCAATGTCCCAGCCAAAACTAGACCCCCAAATCTGACATCTTCATACCCTCTTCTAAGCATATAAAATGGCTGTTATTCCTTATGCTTCCTTATTCACCTGGCCAATCTCCACATATCACTCAAATGTTTTACTTATGCCTCTGGATACCAAGAACTTTTGAAGAAAGTCAGCAGAATGAGTCAAGTAACTTCACTACAGATGATACTACTTAATCTAGCTGGGCTGCCTGGCAATTTTAAGAAGCATCTTTGCTTCCCTATGTCATTTCTAAGAACTAAGATTAAAATTTACATAAGCAGCTTCAATGTCCCTTCTTTCCACCTCTAAATGTCTCTGAACCTAAACCTCTCTCCTCTCCTATCTTACCAGAAGTGCCCCTTTTCCAGATACAATCACAGATTCTTGACCTGATTGCCTCCAGGGCCTTATTCTAATACTTATCATTTCCCCAGCCTGCCTCACAGTGTAGGCGCTGACCCTTCTTCACTGGCTCCTTCTAGTTGATTCTTCTTAAATTAAAAAAAAGAAAGAAAGAAAAACTAGCCTGGCCTTTCCTTCAGCAGGCCATTTCCTCCTTCTATTTTCTACTGTACCTTTTGCTTCCCGGGTGGCTCAGTGGTAAAGAATCCACCTGCCAATGCAAAAGACGCAGGTTCAATCCCTGGGTCGGGAAGATCCCCTAGAGGAGGAAATGGCAACCTATTCCAGTGTTCTTGCCTGGAGGATCCCATGCACAGAGGAGCCTGGCAGGTATAGTCCACGGGGTTGCAAAGAGTTGGACATGAGTTTAGCAACTAAACAACAACCCTTCCCTCTACTGCTAACAGTTAACAGTGTAGCCTATATTCACTACCTTTTCCTCATTTACTATTCATTCCCCAGACGTTACACTTTAATACTCCTTTGAACTTGCTCTCAAAGGTCACCAACATTTTCACAACAAAATCCAGGGGCCTCTTCTTAGTGTTCCTTCCCCCAATCTCTCCAGCATCTAATACTGTAAGCAGCCTCCATACCTGCCCTTCTATTCGCTCATGCCTTGACACACCTGTCTTTCATTTCTTAGAACTCTTCTTCCTTGACCTAAGCAACCAATTATTTAATCTAGTTAAGTGCTTAAATTAATCTAAAACCAAGTAATTTTTTTCCCCAAACCTGTCCTCTTCCTAATGTCTATATTTCTATAAATGGCACTGTTATCTTTGCCACTCAAGCCTAAAATCTAAAGTTCTTCAGCTCTTTTCTATCCCTCATCAGTACAAGACTGTCTAGATCAAAATATCTCTATGAGACATGTCATATATTTAAACTTTCCACTACCAATAAGGCAGTCCTCCCATCCCCTGCCTGAGTTGTCTTAACGGTCCCTGAATTGGTCTCCCCTCTCCAAATATCCTCCACTAGGGCTGGATCATGCCCTCATACTAATGAAACCACAGACCAGTCCAGTTCCTTTAGACTGGTTCCTTTGGACACTGGCAGCCCGATGTCAAGTTCCTTTCACTTAGCCACAATCTCTATTTGTCTTACTACATGGCAACCTCCTAGATGACAAACATCTAGGTCATCTTAAGAGTCACCTCCAGGAATACCGAACAAAGGTAGTATCTCAATTGCAGAAGTTGTTTAAGGATGTTTATAGTCATTCTTTTAACAACAGCTGGTAATAATTTATCTTACTTCTTCCGTGACGATTTCATGCAAATCTGGAATGCTCAGATCTGCTTTCACAAAAGGAATCTTATCCACCTCTTCAGGAAATGGTCGATGTTTCACAGTATATTTAAATCCAACATCATTTTTAGGAACTGGACGAGGTTCAGGCACAAAAAGCTGTTAAAAAAAACAACATTATGCTTATTACATTTGGTGCTGTCTGAAATGACATGTATTTCCCTGGTCTCTTAGATGTCCGTGTTTCCCTAGGGTTACAAAACACAGAATCTCAGTAAAAATCTGCAAATACTACTGCTAATGGTAAAGGCACCAGTGTACTCTTCTTTATTTTTATAAAAATTTTCATCAACTTATAGATTTTTGTGACTGATATATGTGTTACAGACCTCTACTGTACCAGGCCTGAATCTTCCACATTCAGTGATAAGCTGATAGATAAGACATTTCCAAATTTAAGGCTCAAACTTCCTTCTTCCCCCAAGGACTCTCAAATCATACAAGTTTACATCCACTGGGCATCTCTAGACAGTGAATTCAATAATAAGAAACTCAACATGGCTTAACTGAAAAAGTCTGGCTCCAAATCTAGGTCTTCATGGCTCCAAATCCCTGTTTTAATAAACATATATGAGCTATGTGACTTCTGTTTCCACATTTGACAAACGGAAACAATACATCACAAGACTGCTCCAAGAATGAAATTAAAAAATATATGGCACATATTAAACTGTCAAACAGGTTTTAGGGCCTTTTTTGACCTTCTTCCTCCTCAGTCTTGAATGGGACTGAGTGGCTTTAAGTGTTTCTGACAGACTGGTGACTGGTATGACGCCACTAGGAGAAAACAGGCGTGTGCTCCTCAGAGCAAACACATGAAAGAATTTTTAATAACATAAGTAAAAGCTTACAATGTGATAAAAAATGAAAAGAGCAGTATACAAAAATGACTAAATTCTACTGAAATGTTAGGTACAGAAAGGGAAAAAAAGATTGGAAGAAAATCCACTAAAACATTAACAGAGGCTATCTACTTCTGAAGAGTGACAATAAAATAGCTTCTTCATTATTTTCATTTTCCAACTTTCTCCCATGAGCAAATTTTACTCTTATATTTACAACTGTTATAAAAAAATAAACTGTGCCACCCCAAAGAAAGATTTTATTAAATTATACAGCACATTAAAAAAATTACAGAGCATATTACCAGTTATACAGTTAAATGAAACAATTAGAAACTAAGTACTATTGACAGAGACATCTAGGATCTGGCCAAACTTTTTTCATATGGCATATGGCAGATTTTATTTAACATTCCATGAAAAAAGTTGGGGCCACTGTTCAGAACAGCAGTTCTTTTTTTTTTTTTAACTTTTACTTAGAAGTATAGCTGATTAACAATGTTGTGACAGTTTCAAGAGGACAGCAAAGGGACTCAGCCATACTCAGAAGAGCAGTTCTTAATCTTAAGTGGATGTCAGAGTCACCCAGAAAGCTTTCTGAAATTACACCTGCCTTGAAGATGTCTTTAAAGAGTATTTCAGTGGACCTGGAATTCTAGCCTCCTAAGATGATTCTGATGTGAACTCACTAAGAACCTGGCTAGGATCAAAAATATTTATTTTCTCTGTGATTTTTGTTGGAATATTATTTAACCTTTAAATCACAACACACAAAAACACACACACAGGCACTCACTCCTAGCCATTCCCCTGTAACTTCTGATGGATACCTTCTGATTTGCTTTTGCTCCTCTGGGTAAAAGGCAAAGTTGTTGTGCCCAAGCAAGTCTTCCAGACATTCCCCGGACGAGCACAGTGACAGAGGGGAAAAAATCATCTAGAATAAAATGTTGGTGAAAAAGTTTTTATTTCCGACAACATATAAAATACCCCTGCTGTCAATTTTAGAGCCTCTAATAAAGACAGCCTAGCACAGTGCTTCTCCAGCTTTTCTCCTTTCTGAACCACCTCTGCGGATTCTGCCGTATCCATGTACTGCTGCGACTATTATCTTACTTTCTTTATTAACTTCTTTCTTCCCTTTTTCTTTTTTTTAAAAGGTAAATTATATCCTTAAAAGGAAAACCAGGAACTCTGGTGTGCTAATTATATATTTTTAAAACACCTGCTTAAAAATACATAAAATAATGTTTACCGACACACCAATTAACATCATATCACATACCTCCAGTAGTACACACACACATTTTTTGGAAACATGATCCTGGCAAATACTCTTAACCGTCAGTGCTGCAGATGGTCTAAATGCAAAAGACAGGCTGGGTGCTTCTGAAGCTGAAGTTATATCCACCCATGCCTTTGTGTACTGCTGCCCAGTACAGCAGAAACACTGGCAGGCACTGTTTCATCTCAAGGGAGAATGAAAGCAGAATGGACTTCCTAAGCACCCAGATCCTTCTTCCTATTCCCTTTTTTTGCCTCTGGTCTAGCAGTCAAACTTGTTCAAATTTCTCTCACTTTTGTTTTAAAATTATTTAGAACTTTTGTTCTAAATAATCCCAATTGTTTATATTTTTGGTAGACTTTCAATGCAATGAAATCACTTAGAATGAGAGTAGTGGAGTCTTAAAAAATTTGAAAAAAGGGTTGACACCCCCCAGACCAGGAAACCTGGAGGGGAGACTGGGATTTTACAGACTATTATAGCAGACAGCTTGGGAGTGGGAAGCAGGAGGAGTCAAGAATAATTGCTACAAGCCAGGGAAAAAAGTCAAGCAATCCCAGGTATAAGGTAGAGAAGGATGAGGTACCTGCAGGAAAGACCTGGGACCAGTGCTTCTAGAGTTGGGCAACAATTAAAAGCCCCATCTAGTTCTTATTAAAATCACTATATTTTACCACAACATGAAGGACACCTCTGGTGGTATTTCCTTGAACTTCTGGGAAACATCTAGTTTCATTTCATGAACAAGTCAAATATCCTCTCTGAGCCCTACTTTCTTCATCTATAGATTCCCTGGGTCCCTGTATGCCCAAAGATTCTGTAATCTTTACTTTCCTTCCCCTTCCCAGCAATAAGGATTTCTCTAAAAACATGCTTCCTTTACATACTGATTAATTCCAATTACCATCAGAAAAAAATGTACTTTAAGCAGTCTGCACTGCAGTGGTAATACACCCTGAGATGCTTATAACTTGGGGAAAGATGGGAAGAAAACAGTGCATGTTGCATCAATGGAAAAATCAGTGAAGGATTTTCAGGAGGGCATGGGCATGATCAGATCTGCAATGGCAGCCAAGTAGGATGGAGGGAAGGGTAATGAATTTTGGAACTGGAAGGAGGGACAATCAGATCAGGCAAGAACCAAGTGCAATAATCTAGAAATAATAAAGTCCTGCATTTGGTTGTATTGGGAGGAATGCAGAGAAGAGAAGGTGCCAAAGTCACTAAGGGAAGAGAAACCTGGACACCAAGTACATAATGGAATAACAGGAAGGAGCAGGTGAAGATGACTCCTCCAATTTCCAGCCTGTCTGGGTGGCAACAATAACTGGAAAAGAACAATGTGGAGTGAGGGCGGGACAGGAGAGGTATAGGATCCAAAGGTCAAGAAGGAAGAAAAAGGAATAATGATTTTCATACACAGGGAACAGAAAATATTCTACCAAAATAAACTTTCTATAAAGCTATGGAGCTCTTTTCTAATAGATATACATTGTTAAGTGTCAGTCGCTTAGTCGTGCCCAACTCTTTGCGACCCCATGGACTGCAGCCCACCAGGCTCCTCTGTCCATGAGATCTTCCAGGCAAAGATACTGGAGTGGGTGGCCATTTCCTTCTCCAGGGGATCTTCCCAACCTAGGGATCGAACCCAGGTCTCCTGCACTGCAGGCAGATTCTTTACTGACTGAGCTACAAGGGAAGCCCCCCAAAAAAGTGAAAGTGAAGTCGCTCAGTTGTGTCTAACTCTTGGCGACCCCATGGACTGTAGCGTACCAGGCTCCTCTGTCCATGGAATTTTCCAGGCAAGAGTACTGGAGTGGGTTGCCATTTCCTTCTCCAAAATATTTCTTTGAGCCCCTTTTTTTTGGGGGGGGGGCAAGAATACTGGAGTGGGTTGCCATTCCCTTCTCCAGAAGATCCTCCCGACCCAGGGATTGAACCCGGGTCTCCTGTGTTGTAGTCACACGCTTTACTGTCTGAGCCACTATAGCACAGTTGGTAAAGAATCTGCCTGCAATGCAGGAGACCCCAGTTCGATTCCTGGGTCGGGAAGATCTGTTGGAGAAGTGATAGGCTACCCACTCCAGTGTTCTTGGGCTTCCCTTGTGGCTTAGCTGGTAAAGATATACATTAAGAACCTCTAAAAGATTCTATTTCATAGGTATATTCCACTATCTGACCCTCTGCTTTTCAGTTGCTACTATCTCATCAGCTAGAAGCCTTTTTTGATAAATGCAAAATTACTTAGAATTTGTCTTTCCTTCCCTGATCCCAGAGACAGCTTGCTAATACTGACAGACATGTTGATTTAGCAGTGGAAAAAGCCCAAAGTGCTGAAACTTACTCTGTTCATTTCCAAGAGGTTGCTCCAGCATTGCCAGGATGACACTGTTATCCAAGACAAAGTACCGGAAACTATGTTTGTTTATGGTTGGCAGTCTGGAGTATTTGATCAAAGTGGTCTCATTCACCAGACTACAAGGAGAGGCAGGACCACTGGGTGAAGGAAATGCACCAAGCAACTGCATAATACTGGAGAGAATGTAAAAGATAACAGTTAATTCCCAAAGCAAGACCATAACTTTACCCCATGCATCAATCGGTCTCTCTAGATTGATCTGACCACAGCCGTGCTTCCTCTCTGAGGGTCAAATTTACTCCCTGTGGTGGATGCTGTGGTGTGCTGTCCCGATTCCCTCTCCAAAACTGAAAAGATCCACTGCCCAGATACAGGGAGATGGTGGCCCTAACTTTCAGCTGAGTCCTGGAGAGGCCAATGAGAACCTCTTTATCCAAGACCACAGCTTCCTCCTGGGACAGCTCATGTCCAATGAACTGTTGATGCCAGGGGATAAGGGGTATAAAGTCCCAGTACCCGGGCCCCAACATGAGAGACTCCTGAAGGGCCAGCCCAGATCCAGAGCCCTTTGCTGCAAATGCATCACAGTTTGGTTCTTCCCTCTACTCAGTCCAACTTCCCTCATTCCCCCACAAGGGTTGATCCTGACAGCACTTTCCAATAAACCTCTTACAGGCAAATTTCTCTCTCTCAAAGCCTGCTCCCCAGGGAACCTGGCCAATCATACTTCCAAATCATGAAGCTCCTAAAGATATATTTTAAAAATATGCACACTCCAGGTTTAAGGACTATGCTAGCTAAAGCATTCTAGACCCAGACAAGGATCTGAAAATCAGCCAAATCCCCTCAACTTTCCAGCTGAGGAAACTCAGGCTCAGAAGAGATAAGTGATCATTAAAAGACCAGAAACCAAGACCTGCTGCCTTCTCACTGTGTGGCCATGAATAGCTATCCTCATTTTACAGACAAGGTACTTGATGCACTAGTAGTTACAGAACTGTTGTAATTATTAAATGAAAATCTATAAGAAAAAAATACCTTTTAAATTAGAATTCAACTGATCAAGCCTAAACATTCCAAAATGTTTACATCCACAGAGATCCCTGCATGTCTTCAAGGAACAATAGTAATAACTTATACAATACCACTTACTATGTGCCAGAGTCTGGAGCTAAGCACTTGACACATAACATTTTATTTAGTTATTATAACAATCCTATGAAATAGGTACCATTATTATTCCCATTTCATAATTAAGAAACTGAAACACAGAAAGAATCTTAAGAACACATAAAGATTTTATCTTGTGGTCCTAATATCATCAGACACGTCCAAAGCAACTCATTTGCAAAATTAGTATTCCCCACTACTACTTTCATCATTGCAATTCTCAGCTTGAGTAGCCTCTCCTCTTCTCTTTCATTCTAATGCTTGAACCCAAATCTCTCTGGTAACAGAAGACAACACTGCTCAACAGATACTTTCCCTCTATTCTCTCTCCTCCTAGGACGAGGACTATCTTAAGAATTTCAAGGACAAGGAGAATTTCATGATGAGTTCAGGCCTAAGGATTTGTAGAAAACCAGTAATGGGAAAAACACAGGCTTTCTAATATGGAACAGGGATGGTTGTCACAAGCATCTGGACCATGTAAGCTTATGTTTCATGCAAGATTTTAAGACATTATCAAATAGGATGCTGGGAAGGGAATAGGTCACTAAGATCAAATCACACCAGCCTAACTACATTTTCTCTTCTTGATAATGACTAGACTAGAAAGGCAGAGAAGTATCTCTGAAATCAAGACGTGCAATTTACTTGGCAGTGTATCATTAAAAACATAGATAAGATTTTAAAATCCCTGTGAACCAGAATGGAAATCTCTTATCCAGAATGGAAATCTCTTATCATGTGCTTCATCAGTCTTTTTCTGTTCAATATTCTTATCAGAGTTTCTGATTAGGACACACAGGACAGCCTCATTAAATCTGCAGTTGACCTAAAGTTGAGCTGAGGAGTTTATTATCAGAGTTAAGAGCTGGGATCCAAAAGAATCTTAAAGGATTAAAAATAATAAGGTAAATCTTACATAAAGAAATTTCAAGTTTAAATGTAAAATTCTATAATTACATCCAAACACCCCCAAACAAGTGTTCAGGATGAGAAAGACAAAAGGTAAATGTGTTTAAAAAAAAAAAATAGCCTCTAAGGTTTGGCTTGACTAGGTTCTCAAAAACCCAATTTTAATGAAAATATAATATTCTACAGAGTTTAAAGGTGATCACCCTTTAAAGAGGTACACAGTCAAACCAATGCCACTGAAAGGAAAATGACTAGAATAAAAAGTACTTTAAATCCCTGTCATAAGAAAAATAGTTAAAGGTACTGGCAGAAAAGAATGAGAAAGAACATGAGCATTCTTGGGATTCCTTCAGTGATCCAGCAACTAAAACTCTGCCTTCCAATGCAGGCGTGTGGGTTTTATTCCTGGTCAGGGAACTAAGGTCCCACCTACCAGGGAAGGCAGCCAAAATGTAAAATAAAAAACAAACAAAAGAACACAAGCATTGTCTTCAGACATTCCCATTCCTTGGAAAAAAAGGATATCGTGATCAAAAGTCTGAATCAGAACAAATGGGTACGAGTTAAAGTGGGAGAGATTTCAGCTCAATGGAAACACCAAGTTTTCAACAATTAACATGAAATGGGCACTTGGAGGGGGGTTAAAATATCCCAAAATTAGAGGCTAAATAACTTGGTCAATAACTCTTAAAAATCACTAAGCAGAGGGGCTACTGAAATGACTTCCAGGAGTCCTAATGTGTATTATACAACAAGGGGAAAAACACCAACAAGCTGATCTGCATTCTGTATCTCCTGTGTGCTCACACTGTGAGGAGTGTATAAAGGGAACTGAGTGTAAAAAGCCCCCAGGGTGGGGAGCTAAGACTAGCACATTATCAAACATGACCAGGTGTGATCATGACACCATAGAACTCACATAGTGTGGCAGGGTCAAACTGAATGAACACAGAGGTGTGGAAAAGAAGGAGAATAATCAAAGAAGGTTCCATAGAGGTAGCTAGATGTGATGTGAGCAGCTAACTGTGGAGGATGTGGCCAAGAGGAGAGGGAAGTCCTGAAACGCAGGGGAAGTAGACAGACAGGTATGAACAAGCGCAGTTCACAGCCACAAGTGGCCAGCCAGCTGGGGCAGAAGGGCTGTGCTAGGAAAGATCACAGCTTGAGTGGGGACTCAAGGAGGGCCTTGAACACCAAACCAAAAATGTCACACCATATGGCAATAAACAGAAATCTTCTGCTGTTTTCAAACACTCACACAGCAGAATAAGCACAGTACCTAAGATGATGAGTCCAGTAACAGAATGCAAAATGAAAAGAGAGATTGAAAACAGGGAAATCAGACAGAAAGTGAGAAGGGCCTGGACTAGGATGCCGAGGTCTGAGGGAACAGAGGAAATACTTCCAAAATTAAAGTCTACTAGACTTGGTCACTGACTTCATATGGGGAATGACAGATAAAACAGAGATAAATCAGGAAGAGTCAAAATTTTAAGTTTGCATAGCTGAAAACAGTCATGATACTAACACAAAGTTCTAATTGTGTGGGAACAGAGAAAATTGGTTTTGGATGTTTCATGGTGGCTCTTTCAGTTCAGTTCAGTTCAGTCGCTCAGTCGTGTCCGACTCTTTGCGACCCCATGAATTGCAGCACGCCAGGCCTCCCTGTCCATCACCAACTCCTGGAGTTTACTCAAACTCATGCCCATTGGGTCACTGATGCCATCTAGCCATCTCATCCTCTGTCGTCCCCTCCTCCTCCTGCCCCCAATCCCTCCCAGCATCAGGGTCTTTTCCAATGAGTCAACTCTTCGCATGAGGTGGCCAAAGTACTGGAGTTTCAGCTTCAGCATCAGTCCTTCCAACAAACACCCAGGACTGATCTCCTTTAGGATGGACTGGTTGGGTCTCCTTGCAGTCCAAGGGACTCTCAAGAGTCTTCTCCAACACCACAGTTCAAAAGCATCAATTTTTTGGCACTCAGCTTTCTTCACAGTCCAACTCTCACACCCATACATGACCTGGCCCTTTTTAAGACATGAGGCCTTTTGCAGAGCTGCCAGCAGAGATAAGATGAGCCACCTAGACAACTACTGCCTAGGTTGGGGACTACGAGCATGACTCTCTGCTCATTCTGGGCTCATATCCAATCCTCACTGCCAATCATGCCCTCAATGGAATGTCCCATCCACAGGCTAGGATGGAGCAAACTTATTTTTATATAATGCAGAGTCCCAGTGAGAAATAGCTTTCCCCATTTCTTCATATCCCTTTTACTCTTCAAGGTACACATCAGATCTTAGTTTTTAATAATATTTTTAAGTCCACCCCAGACCACACATGGTCTTCTCTCTGGACTTTAATCATTTCTAGTAATTAAACACATTTTTCTGATTTTCCAGCTGTTAGCCAAACCTCCACAGTCATTGAAAGCCCAGTATTGGCACAGGAGGACTGAACTAAAGCAAGTGAGCAGGACTGAACTAAAGCAAGCATGCTTCTAAAACTTTACTGAATAACCTAAGCCCATGAGGAACAGAAATAAACCCAACTTTATTGTGCATGCCCCAAGTTCTCTTGGAAAAGGCTCATCTGCATACAAATCTTCTATAAGCTGTCTTCTTGTGTAGTCAAGGAGTTGTGTCTGACTCTGCTGTGATGCGATGGATTGTAGCCCACCAGGCTGCTCTGTCCATTGCATTCCCCAAGGCAAGAATACTGTAGTAGCTTGCCATTTCCTTCTCCAGGGGATCTTCCTGACCCAGAGATCAAATCCCTGTCTCCTGCATTGCAGGCAGATTCATTACCTCTAAGTCACCAGGGAAGCCCTCAAGCTGTCTCACCGCTTTTACTAAGACCAAGATGAGCCAACTTAATATGACCTGACATTCCTCCTCCCTGCTTTTTATGTTGTTCTGGATCTTCACTCACACTTACCCTCTCATAAGCCACTTCTTCCCAACTGTACCAATTCTACCTAATCTTCTCCACCTATCTCTTTCAGTCAATAAACTGCCTTTCTTCCCTCTTCCTACTCTGTTAACTAACTGGCCAAACATAAACTTTTTCAACTCTCTGCTACTTTTTCAAGATACCAACCTGTCTCCATCCCTTCATTATCAAAATGGTTGAAATAGGAATTCTCTCTTGCTGCTGTAACCACTCTGCAATCTGACTTATAGCTCAAACTATCCATTCTCCGAGAGTCAGATGTGATTTTCCTCAGGAATCTGACTTCCCCGAATCGGACAGTATTCATTCCTTTCTTCCAACACAGCTGCAATCCATATGTACCCCTTCTCTTGGAGCATTTATTCTCTAGCTAATATTATAGATATTTGTGTTCATATCTTATTCCTCCCTTTTGGACTAGAAGCTCTCTGGATGTGGTAACTAAATCTGATTTATTTTTACAATTCTATTACTAGTTCGTAACAGGATGTTTATAAGTTTTGGCTGAATGAACCTATCATATGTAATACAAATAGTGAAGCACAGAATAAAAATCACTAAGCTGGAAAGCAGAAGAGGTAATGGTGTGATCGAAGCCTCTGGACTCAGCCATCAGAGTGAGGGTGTGGGTAAGGCTCTCCAAGATCCTTTCTAGCTCTAACATGATATGACTTGAATTACTGTCAGCCAGCATAGAAAAACAAGGACCCAAACTTTTAGCCTCAAGTTCCTGGTTTCTTTGGTCCAAAAGAACAAGACAGTTTCTTTTCCATTTCTGGGGAAAAAGTATCCTAAATCAGGTTATGTCACTTAATGCTGAACAACTGGGGAGGAGATGAAACAACACAGGATGACATCTAATCTGTTCTAACTCCGAGACACAACCCCTGTGACGTCACTTTCGTACCACGTTAGGGTGGCTTCAGCGGCATCCTTGACCCTCATAGAGGCAGGGTTTGGCTCCTTATCACCTTTGTACTTGACCTCTTGCTCACTGTTCTTGGACTTGCTTCCTGAAATACCCAGTTCCACAATTTCCAGCACTTCCTTAAGACAATCCTAGAAAAAGAAAAAGCAGATTAGTTTTTGTAATACATCTATCTTATGAGAAGACAAGGAAATACATCCAAGTGCCAATATTGGTTGTGTTTTGGTGGTGGGACTCTAATTTCTCATTTTCTTTGGTTAGGTACATATTAACTTCATAATTATTTAATGAAATAAACTTGCCCCCCCCCATTTTTCTTTAAAGATTAAATTTGAGTATGGAGAGTTCTAGATAATAAGTAATGATAAATTCACTTCAATTTTATCAGTCATCATTCTTGTAAAATTTCCATGGACTATAAATTGTGAAAGCCAACTGAAAGAGATGTAATAGTAATTCAGCTATACCTGGATAGTTTTAAAGCAATTTCTGGTATCCTAATGCTATATGTCATTATGCAAATAACTAAGATTTAATCAATGGTATTATCTTTATAAACTATATAAAGCTCTGTTTAATTTTCCAATAAGCCTGGTATCTCTTCTTTTATTTACACTATGCATTCTTTTATAACTGCCTTCCCATAAGAAAAGTATTACATGGAACAATGGTAAAAGAAAGCTGCCTTACAAAAAAAAAAAAAGAAAGCAGCCTAGATAATCTGCGTTTACTTAAAATGAAAGAAATGTGTGAAATGAAATTTTTAGCTACAAACAACCTTTACGAACAAGGTGTTCTCTAGGTTTGCAGCCTAGTTATCAACTGCCCTTTCTGGTCTGATGATAGGTGACCAAAGTATCTTCTGGCCATCTCAAGGCTACCATCCTTTCAAGAAAAAACAACCCTGATTGTTCGTAGATAAATTAGCCAAAGCTCCATCTTTCAAAGAATTTCTCTACAGGTTAATCTGCAATCAACTACAGTTGACCCCTGAGCAGCATGGGAGTTAGAAGCATCGACCCCCAGCAAAATAAAGAATCCACATATAAATTATTTTTTATTTTTTTTTCTGTTCCACACATAAGTTAAAGTTAGCCCTCCATATATGCAGTTCCTCCCTATCCACGGCTCCACACTCATAGGTTCAACCAATCACAAATCATAACAGTATTTACAGTTTTTTTTAAATTTGCATGTAAGTGGACCCACAAAGTTCAACCCTATGTTATTCAAGGATCAACTATATAAGCATGATGGTAGTTTATAGGACAAGTGTTCTCCTGAAATATAACAAGTTATATTCATCTTAAAGTATGCAATACTGGATTTAAATTTAGATATTCTTTTTTAAAAGATATTTTCCCAATATACATTTTTGTTCCTATTTTCTGTTTTAGTATCTAGTAAACTAACCTTTTCATCAAGCATGTCGGGGTGCTCTGTCAGCCAGACACAGAGACACTGAAAAGCCGCCACTATCATGGAGTGCAGGTCCCGGGAGTGGAGAGGAGCTGGCCGACTACACTGGTATACAATGTAGCTGCACACGGAACTGATGGCTCGCTTCCGGTCTCCAGAGTCAACCACCACCTTTACCTGAGCATATTCGTTTGGGGAACACAGTTAGCCAGGAACCATGGTACCAATTTCAAAGCCTCTACACCAAGGCTCAGCCTTTCTGAGAATATAATATTTCAGATGTACTATCATATACACTTTATAAAAAGAGAGGGCATTTTTCAAACTCTATAACAGTAAAATTTCATTTTAGCATTCTTTTTCATGCTCTAAAACCTAAACTGCTGGGGTACAACTACTCATCACTGCCACAGATCACAAGAAAAGCTGGCAGTGGAACATGCATACATTTTTTAAGCCCCCTAATCCACCCCACAGTGATGCTCTATGGGCTACAAAGTTCTATGCAGCTGTCCAGAGGTATAATTAACATATAGTAAACTATACATATTTAAAGTGTACAATTTGGTAAATTTTGGTCTAAGTATACACCTGTAAACTATTACCACAATCAAGATGGTAGACATATTCATCACCCCTCAATGTTCTCATGCATCTTTATAACACTCCCCCCTCAAAAAAAACTTCCCCCCGACTCCTTTCTGCCCCCTTCCTAGGTTACTGCTGACTTGTTTTTTGTAACTATAGGTGAACTTGCATTTTCTATAGTTTTTTATAAATAAAATCATAGACTACTATACTAATTGGGGTGGGGGGAGAGTCTGGCTTCTTTTACTCAATATAATTGTTTTGAGATTTATCCACAGTCTTGTGTGTATCAATTTTTCATTCCTTTTTACTACTGAATAGTATTCCATTATATGGATTATACCATAATTAATTTATCCAGTCACCTGTTGGACATTTGGATTTTTTCCAGCTCCTGAGTATTACAAATAAAGTGCTAAGTATAAGACTTTCTAAGAGTATGTGCTCTTTTACTTCCTAAGAGTGGACTGACTGGATCATATGATAGGTTTATGTTTAGTTTTTTAATGCCCTGTGAAGTGTGAGTGAAAGTCGCTCAGTCGTGTCCAACTCTTTGAGACCCCATGGACACATTTTTTAAGCCCCTGTGGAATTCTCTATGCCAGAATACAGGAGAGGGTAGCCTTTCCCTTCTCTAGGGGATTGTTTTCTAAAATGGTCACACCATTTAACATTCCTTTCTCTTTTTTTGTACACAAATATCTGATTGTTCCAGCACCACTGGCTGAAAAGACTATCCTTTCTCCTTTGAATTATCATGGCACCTCTGTCAAAAATCAAATGTCCATACACATGCGGATCTATTTCTGGACTCCCCACTCTATCTACTGATCCAGCTGTCTAACCTATTCCAATACCAGACTGTTTTGATTACCATAGCTTTATAGCAAGTCATGAAATCAGGTAGTGTTAGCCCTTCATGATTTGTTAGGTCTAGACAGCACTCCATTTAGGGTTAATTATTCCTTACTGCTGCAAGTGTACTGAAGATCACAGGCAACAGTATCTTGCTCTCAAAGACCACATGGTCCTGCACATCTCACAAATGGTTGTTCTTACCTCCTACATCAAATAACTGCTCCTCACAAAACTACGGCCATTACATCTATGCTTCAGAATCTCTGAGGTAAAGGTAAGCACTAAGTGGTGGTGAGAACACCTCAGGTTTTCTTATCTATTTTGCCTTTCATGATTCAGGTAAGTCACAGCCTCTGCTCACCTGACCCCTCATCTATAAAATGAGGACTTAAAGTTTACCACCTCAGACAATATCACCTTATGTGTGTATATCACCTTTGTGTTTACAAAGTGTTCTACATATTTCATTTCACTTCATCCTCACATCACCAGCTATTACACACAAGATAATCCTGCCTATTTTACAGATATGAAAATACTTATATGCTAGTGAAGATTCAGAGAAACTGGAACCCTCCTACATCACTGGTGGAAATGTAAAGTGATTCAATTGCTGAGGCCAACAGTTTGGCAGCTCCTCAAAAAGTTAAATACAGAATTACCATATGACCCAGCAATTCCACTCCTAGTTATATAACCAAAATAACTGAAAACTGGCTTTCAAATAAACACATGTACATGCATGCTCACAGCAGCACTACTACTCACAAAAGTCAGAAGGAAGAAACAGCTCAAATGTGCTACAGAGGAACAGGTAGACAAACTGGTACATAAATATGATGGAATATCATTTAGCCACAAAATGGAATGAGATTGAGACTTTTTCTACAGCATAAATGAACCTCAAGAACATATTAAGTGAAGAAAGTCACATACAAATGGTCACAGGCTACACGATTTAATTTCTATGAAATATCAGAATAGGTGAATTCACAGAGACAGAATGCAGACTGGTGGTTGTTAGAGATAAGGGGAAAGGGAGACCAGGAAACAACTGCTTAATGGGTACAGGGTTTCTTTGGGGGTGATAAATGTTTTGGAACCAGAAAGAGGGGGTGGTTGCACAACACTGTGAGAGTACTAATAGGCATTGCATTGTTCACATCAAAAGGTTAATTTTGTTACGTGAATTTCACCTTAATTTAAAAAAAGAGAGAGAAATGCAAATGGACACCCAACTCTAAGATTCCACAAAGTAGATAAACAGTTGGGAAAGAAATCTGAAAGTACAGTCAACTTTCATTTATCTCTGATAATGGAAGATGGAAGAGTCACAGGTAGGCCCAAATGGTATATTTTAGGATAAGTTTTTCTTTCATTGCCAAATCTGTATTTATTTGTTAAAATTAGATGATTGATGATCTTATAATGGCACAAAATGTCATGCTGAAAATTTAAGGGTATTATGAGTAAACACAAAATCAACCAGTATTCTATCACAATGTGCAAATAAAGAGCAAGTATTGAAATGTTTCCTATCATCTAACAGCAAAAATATCATTCACACCCTTTGACCCTATTAAATAAAAAAGTAGATCATTTTGTAAAATCTCACTTGGAAGCTCATTTTTGCACACTTTGAATGTCAACTGTGATGAGTATAATCAAGACTGCAATACCCACACAAAGTGGGTCAGGAGATACAGAAAAAAGAACCATACTCCAAGGTGGCTGGGCTAAAATAAAAGGACTGTCACCTCACCTTTGCCAGTCCAGAGAGGAGCTCCAGAGCTGCCAGTGATATGCTCATGTCTTGCCGCCACTGGGAGTTGAGTCTTTGGGTGACGAGATGAATGCTGCGAATCAGGAGCCCAGCAGCTGAATCTGTATTAAGAGCTAGGATATAACCCCAATGCCACATCCCACAGGGAGGGAAAACAACTAAGCATTAGTAACGAGAAGCACAGCATTCCACTAGGCACAGACCACAGCAGCCACAGTGAGCATGACGGGCACCCACACAGTGCTATGCTCCCCGCCCCACTGGCCTGAGCATCTCAGCCTGACTGAACAATGGTGCGCAGGGCACACACACCGGACCAGAGCAGCTTCTAGCTCCCAGCTCAGGTACTCTCACACAGACATCCACTGGGATTTGAAAGCTTCAATATCATTCTTTTAAATAAATCTCAACATTTCCAAATTAACTCACAGTTACATTAAAAAAAAAAATGAAACAATCAAAAGGTTATCAATTATTTCCTTGAAATTTTATAGAGAAAGGAATTCAAATTTCAGAATCTCTTCAGATGCTGGGAATTATCCTAAAGCATCTGCTGAAATTATTTTCAGGGTTTATATCGTCAGAAGTCACATGCAATGCTTTTTCAAGCAAACTTTAACATTTAATTCTCTGAGACTCTTTTTAATACTCTTAAAAAATTAAATAATCAAGTTACTGTGTTTTTATGTAGCCTCCAATTCTATACTTAAAAGTAATTACTATTCAATTAATAATAAATTAGGACAAATTAAATTTATAAAGGAAGCTTTAGGGACATTATACCTGTCGATCCTATCAGAAAGAGGGCAGTGACAACAGAAAAAGGAATGATCATTAAAGAGAGACATTCATGCGACACTAACACAAATCTGGATTTCTTAGTAAAAACTATTTTATGACATTACAAGCAGAACTCACTAACACCAGTTCAAAATACTGAAACAAACAATAACCACTTCGAACATTTATATTAGAACACATATAATAATGCAAAAACTTCTTTAGTTTAAAAGTGTCTTAGAAGCAGGAAAAATAAACAAATTTTCACCTATACTTAAACCAAGCATAGTGAATAAAATAACAATTTAAATAACTTCTTAATAAATGCAATATTTCAATGTGTTAAATAGCCACATAATGACCTTATGTATATGACAAGCTGAATGATACTTATAGCAAACTTAAATCACTGAAACATGCCTGGACTCCTGGGCTTATAAACTCTCCAAATGATTAAAAAATTAAACTCCATCTAAGAAGCTAGATTTCATTCCAATCTAGTTGGATTAATAATCTTAGATTCAATACACCACTAGTATTTATGCATAAAAACATAAAGGCACCCACAAATTCAACAGAACCCAGAAGGCAACTGGCCAAGGTAAAGGACATTATAGAATAGGATGCTCTACTTGCAAATGCTTCCTTACTCTTTGTGACGGAAGAATCTAACCAGACATAGTAGGGTATACAGGCTTCAAAAACAAAGGCAGATTCTCCTTTGGGTTGCCATCTAATGCATAAACCATTAACCATCCTCACTACACTGCAAAAACTGAAATACTGACTGATTCTGCCATTAGACTGAGGCAGTGCCTAAATCCTATTTGACTCTAAATTATTAGCACCTGGTACAGAATTCAGAAATGCTTCCTATAAATCACTTATAAAATCTAAGAAACTATCCAAAATCTAACTACTAAAAACTGTAGAGCTAAATTTAAAAGATCTGTTTTCTTTTTCATAATGTTTTAGACTAATAGCTTCTCTGCTATATTAAGTACATAAAAACCATGAACATGAAAATCTAGTTTAACATTTCTCTGCTTGTTTTATATAGCTGGGCATTAAAAGTTATTCTATAAACTTTAGATTAAAAAAAAAAAAAACTAAACTAAACATGGCTTACCATAATCTCTCAGGAGAGCCTGAGCAGGTCTTTCACTGTCAGGAGTTGTGGGTTCTGTGCTTCCACCACTTGCTGAACTAATACCACTGTTCGTGCGACTATGACTCTTGAAGTTATTTTCTCCACCACCCTAGTCAAAAAAAAATGAATCAAATATGCAAGTATGGACAGAAGTCAATCACTAAAAGCCATGCTGGTAAAATGGAATGTGCCAGCTAAATAGCACAAACTGATACGTAGATAAAAATTGACAAAGTATTAAAACTGTTGTGGTGTTTTTGCATAAACACTATTTACTGGTGGTATCAAGGGTCTGATGATTAGTGGGTGCCCATGCTGGAATCATCTTTGCTGCTGTTTAAAAGGATCAGACTTTTTCCATCTTCACTAGACTTCAATAGTTAATGGTTCTGGGTCTGTAAAGAAATATCCTAGTGCCTCCCAAGCAAAACTTCAGAATAGGAATACATCTTAAAAACACAAATAAACAAATAACAGTAACTTTCCAGTGTTACATAAAATACACAAACAATAAATATATGATTAGTAAATTTAGCATATATCAGTATATATCTATAGATAGATAAAGATCAACTCTTATATGTACAGGAGCTAATGAAGGTATCTGCTGAAGACTTCCCTCATTTCCCCTACAAACACAATTCATTTTATCCATGTAAGGTGACTGTTATTAGCCACCTAGTGGGACATGAACATAATTTCCTTAATGATAATTTGATCACCCATCCTACATCTACTCATCTCACCCCAGCATACTCGGTTAATTCACCTCCCACCAACTGCCTGCCTCTATTCCAGGTAGAGGGATCACACGTCTTGAAGACAGAAGCAGGGAGCATCGGAGTCTCTGGAAAGTATTTCTGATTTAGAAGCACTAATGCTTTGGGGAAACCTTCAAATTTTGGTCTAGAGGGACAGAAAGAGCAGCTGAGATAGAAAAGGATAAACTAGATGCTGTTTACAGCCAACACTAGATCTACTACAGATACAAGGAATCACAGAGTATGGGGATTTTTCTAGATTATTCAAGCCAATTCACCAACACAGCAAAAGACACAAAAGCTTTAGGTAAACACTGTCCAGGAGTAAAGACAGTGTTTAGCTGGAATTTCTCTCCTGCAGAATCTCTCAGGGACCTGATGAGACACCGAAAGATAAGAAACCTCAAAACAGGTAATATTTTTAAAAGGACCCTCTGAATCAATGAGCTGAATCTACAAACAAATGCCTTTAAGAACACAAGGACAGACAGTTTGGAATATAATTTACATAAAAACAGAAGTTGATATGCTCTGACTAATTACATGTTGTATGCTTCTTACCATCTCCATTTGGCAACCAATGGCTTCTAAAAGTGCTGAATCTTGAACAATATTTAACATTGCCCCTGAAACAACAAAAAAATACATTTAAATACATGACAAGAATACAAAAATGGAAAAAATATCTCAATTAACAGCAAAGATAAGAGTATGATTTTAACAGAGTATTCCTGGAAATTCCATACAATTACTGATAAATCCATCAGTTGTTCAGAAAAGAAATTCTGCAAAAATGACCTAATTCTGATCTGCCCCCCAAATTTTAAAATGACATTTTTCTAAAATAAATCTGAATGTCAAACTTTGCTTTGTATAAAAACATGACCAATTTTTAAGTTGGTGTGAAAGACTAGATGTACATCTCAATTTCAAGGGTAATATAAACTAAGAAAAACATTATGGAACATTTTAAAAGCCAGATTCTGATCTTTTCAGTATAAAATAACAAGTGAAAATCCACAGCTATATCTTTCTGACCAACTGCTTTTTAAGAATGCTTTTAGGGTGTGCCCAGAGGGCAAGGGCTTGCATATTCTGAAGGCAAGCTGCATGTATTTATCACCAAGGAACTCATAGCCCTAGGAACTAGTAAAGAAACAAGATGGTGAACCTTGCACTCTACTTCTCATCCCAGGGAGGGGAGTGCTCCCGTGCACTGTGGATTGAAAAAACAGACATAGCTTTGCCAAACTATGCAAGAGTGACAATTGACTCTTCCTTGGAACATACACGGGGAGCTTCTACAGAACAAGGATAAAGCAGAACTAAATACTCCATCAACTGTAGAAATAATCTGATTTCAAGTGCTATGTGTTTTGAACAATCTAAAAAACTACAACTTGGAGGCTCTCTCATATTGAGATTTAACCTCTGTTCATTAAACTCCTTTCCAAAATGAAAGGATTTACTCTTTTATTTATTCTCCCTTCTTGCTGCATAACACACTACACTTACCGGGCACCCACTCCAACCACTACTGGCACCACAAATTCTCTGGCCTTGCTGTTTCCCCTCCTGAAATGAAATCCTAACTTCACTGGTGCCTATTCAAATCCTGCCCTATAAGATCCAATTTAATTTCCACTTTCCCCTATGAAATTTCCTTGCTCTTTCAGTTTATTCTCTATCAACACTAAAGACATCCAACATGACATGCAAACAGCACTGCCTTCTGCTGTTATCTGAGTTCTCTGGGAAGGTGTTTCACTCTCTGCAATGAGACTTGCTCAAGGATAAAAGCCATGCAATTTGCTTCTTTCTCCTCAGAGTACCTGTGCCTAGGACCATTCCCTTGGATCTGATTAAAAAACAAAAAAGTACAGTAACAGACAGCTGCAGTAACCAAGTTGAAAGGTGATAAGGGTTTAAAATATAGAAGTGGCCATAATGATGAAAAGTCATTCAAGACAGCATGATTAGAAAACCAACAGGAAACAATAAGGGAAAAGGGAGGAGGCACAGAAACAGCTACTCCTCAATCTCCTCTTGGCAGGTTCTGTCATGACTTCCACAATTACACCCAACTCCAAAGAGCCTTGCATGTTCTAACAGGCAGGAGGAAGAGGCAGAGGTAAAAGTAATGATGGCAGAGAGGAAAGGGGAGAAAAAGGGGACACAAGGAGAGAGGAAGGGCAAGAGGGAAAGAGAAAGAAAAAGAACACACAAAAAACTAAGCCAACATGCCCTACGAAGACAATTGATGCGCTCCTTCCTTCATCTTACCTCTTCAAATTGTTTTCACGGTTAAGAGCAAACAATTCTGCCTCTGATTAAGAATTAAGTAGGGCTATACTTCGCTTAGGTTCCCATCACTGACCCCTGCCTCAAGATGCCTGAGGTCAACAACAGGATCTGGGTTTTCACTTACAAAAAAAATGTGTGAACACAAACCTAGTATCATTTGAGTGTTGTTGGGGTCCGTTTCCGTTTGCAAGGCACCTATTAGTATATTCACAAGTCTCAACTTCAGTGACAAAAAAGTTATTGGTTTATCATAAGAAGAGCTGTCATCATTACTAAACTTTCCTTCCAGGACTACCTGTGGAAGAAACAAATAACATTTAACATCACCTGCTGCAGCACACTACAGTCCTGTAGGAACTGCTACAGTGGGCAAAAAGAGGATCAGTCCAACGAGCAGGGCTTTCAGTCAGACTGATGGTAGCCACTGTGCTAAGTCTATCACTAACTTACACAACATAGGGGATCAGACACACTAGCCTCTCACCACATGAAATAGTAGAATGGTTGAGTGACAGAAGAAATACCTTCACAAATCAACTTTGCTGATTCACTTGAAATAATCTGAAATTTTTAAGAAAGTTCCTGCTCCATCTTAAAAATATAATTTGACTTGAATTAGCACACAAAACATACAGAATATGAAGAACGTTAATAAAACCTTACCTCAGATTTGACTGTGCCAAAGTGATGTGGGAGGGGCAACAAAGAAAGCAGGATATTAATGGAAGACCGTCTCAGTTCTGTTGGATTTACATAGCTTTTGAATTTTGAAAGTTCTCTGCAAAAAAAAAAAAAAAAAGCTATTAGTATTTCTGAACTGAAGTATGTTTTTAGCTATTGCCAAATATATATTATGTTAATTTTTCACAATACAAGTACTGGGTTTGGTTTTACAGAGAATGCTGAAACTACTTTCCACTGAGTTTATATTCTGTAATTTGCGTGTGTTTGGGAGAGAGAACCGCCCTGTTAAACTGTTAGGGAATTGAACTAGAACCTGATGGATTGATTTTAAACATCAGGCCTACGCTACAGAAGCCCTCTGGGCTGGGGCTACCCTTGTCTCTGTGTACCAGGCAGAAAGGAGTCAGCGCCCACGGGCGGAGCAGAGCTGAAGGAGTTCAGGGACGGGGTCTGGACACTCTACGCTCACTCAATGCGGCCCGAGAGCCCTTGGGTTACGAAGACCACTGACAGGAGAGACTGGGAAACCCGGGAGGAAGCACCAAAACAGACCAGGCCAAAACCAACAACTGACATGCTAGTACAGGATGAAAGCTTACCTGTCAGGCAAAATGGTTTCAAGAGCTGAAATAAAGTAAGGAACCACAACATCAATCCCTTTCAAGTCACAGCAGAACAAAGGAGGGGAGTTTAGAATAACGCTGGCCAAGACAGGATGGCACACATAATCATTTATCTGCAAACCTTGAATTAAAAGCATGTAAAATCTAGGAAAGCAAGAAAAAAATTTTAAACAAACTGCTGGTCAACTGTTTTCATAATCACTAATATTTTCTACATAGTCATCTTAAATTCTATTTCCAATCTTCACTACTTCTATCCTTTAAAAGGCATTAATGGAGTTAGAACAATTCAGAATCAAATACACTAAGAACCAAGTTATATTTCTTAATCAAAAGAAAAAAAAGAGATTCATGCCTATTACACTTTCTTGCAGTGTTAATTAAGCCTTGCAACTCAAAGTTACAGGTTAGCTCGCCAGGCTCCTCCATCCGTGGGATTTTTCAGGCAAGAGTACTGGAGTGGGTTGCCATTTCCTTCTCCAGAGGATCTTCCTGACCCAGGGATTGAACCTGGGTCTTCCGCGTTGCAGTCAGACACTCTACCACCCAAGCCACCCAAGCCACCCAAGCCACCAGGGAAGAACCAAAAACAAAAGGCCGCAGTAATTATCAATAAACTGGAGGAATTACCAAATTAAATTTCATGTCAGTAAAATTTTGCAGTATTCCAAAATTCCTGAAAAAAAAAAAGTGTGTTGTGTCTTTTCCCACTCCCCTGCTATTTTGGGAGCACAATGAAAGAAAGAAACCTCATGTGACCCTTTATGCACAGTATGAAGGTCACCCTGAGTAAGAATTCGTTTAGGAATGTACTTTAAGTGTACCTTACTTTCAACATCCTCCCCTAACCCCCAAAGAACTAAGTATTCAAACTTCTATCATTTAAGAGACACTATATAGGTATACTCTTCAACTAGAAAAAGGCACTTTCTCCACAAAACTCCTCACCTCCTGGTTACTGCTCAATGCATTTCAATCTACTTTCCCTCTCTGGAACTCAACTAAAAACACATTATAACAAATAACCAGTGGCCTCTCAATTGCTGAATCCAAAAGACATGTCTAACTGTTAATTTACTCTGCTTTTTGAAAGCATTCAACCCTTTGAGGACTCCCTTCTCTTATTCTTCTCTGATGTCTATGTCCAGTTCCTTTAACAAATCTTATTCCACATGCCTCATAATACTAGTGTTCCCCAGGCTGACAACCTTGGTTCTCTAAGCTGTTAGTCTGGTTAAACAATACACAAGCAGCAAACATGGTGGAATCAGTCTCTAACTCCATATCCACTAGCCAAAAGCACCCTGGAGACCTGAGGACAGCACATGTCTGATTCTAGAACTCCCTGTGCCCAGTGTCTGGCACAAAATAGGAACTTTATAAATATCTGTTGATAAATAACCCACAGGCACCTCAAATTCAACAGCTTCAACACTAAGCCCATCCTTGGCCCCCTCACACATCTGTTCTTTGGTTGGTCACACTACCACCCATCTGATCTTATGGTCCAGATGGAAGGCTCATGGTCACAGTCTTCTCCCTCACTGCTGCTGACACCATTTGGAGTACCACCCCAACCCACAGTCTCCCTCCTAAGAAATGTACCCCCACAAGGGGTGCCTGTATGCAGTATGAACCACCTCCACAGCTGTAGCGGACTAGACCAGAGGCAGAGAGCTGATTAATCAGATCCTCTTTCCCAGGAATCTGAAATTGGGATTCAGAATAATAATTGGCCTTTGTGTCACTAAGGCAAAGGCCATGGAAATTTGGAACTTAGAAACACATTGCAATGTAAGAAATTGATATGCAGGTAACAGAAGAATGAGGCAGTCTAGAAGACCATGATGACAGAGAAACAGAAAGGAAGAAAGGTGTTTTGGTCCCTGAATACTTTCTAGCCCCTGGTTTCTGCCCTTCATGAGACCCTGCTGCATGTCCTGATCTTAGAAGATATTAAATAGCATGAGTTTCTCAAACTTTTGCTTAAGTCACATTAAGAGGGGTTTCCATTAAAGTCAACAGCTTATTATTACTAACTCCTCGTTAGTTCCCTGCATGTACCACTCTGTTTCTACCTATATTCCCTACTTTTTCTGAGCCAGTTTAATCTTCTCTCCTGAGAATCTAGTATGTACACAGAGACCTGAAAGTTCTTTCTAATATCATTTCAGCAGCTGTGTGAATGATCAGTTGAGGAGGGCAAAAGAGAGTCAAGAAAAATAGGAGGCCATTACCAGCTAATTTAGGGAAAAGGTGACAAGGCCTGAAGTGTCATGGTGGGGACAGAGTGGAGAGATTAGAAACAGGGTTAAGTAGAAGAAAGGCAGGAGTTGGCTGACCACCTAAAGATACAGAGGGAGAGAAGGGAAGCCTAAAATGATGGCAAGTTTCTGGCATAAGCAACAGAATGCATGGCAGAGACATTCAAAAAGACTGGCTGAAGGCACAGATTTGGATAAAATGACCCCATTCAACTTGCTAACACAGTCTAAGTTAACTAGCCATCTAGTAAGTTCAGCACAATCGTCGAACTCTCTGTACTCTTTCCTGAACCCCCGGAGCAAGTGTATGCTGCTGCTTCCTCTGAATGCCTATAGCACTTCACCTGTGTCTCTCTCCTGCCAACTTCCTATTGCTGCTCGACTGGTACTACTTGTGTACATGGCTCTGCCTGGGAAAATTAGCTCCTTAGAGGCAGGATTGGCAGCTAACATTTTTGGGTCATCCATAGTGTCTAGTACTGTGGAAAAAAAATGTATCAAAAGTTGAGTGTGGCCCTTCCGAATTTCTCTATAATTATTAAATATCAATAAGTTGGAATAAATACATCTAAAATAAAAGAGATGTATTTTATTTATTGGGCGTCCTCACCAAATCTAGTATGGTAGGTCAAAAGGAATTCAAGCAAAACTTTCAATTACTTACATGCATTTGCAGGTATTTCAAACCAACATTTACTTATCAATTCAGCCTATCAAGCCATGCTACAATAGACTTTCACTATCACAACTATACAAATAGAAAAATAAACAAAAAAATTCTAAGACCTGGATAAATAAGCTGGCAGAATCTCTTCTCCAGTCTTCTTGCTACAAAAAATCCTACACAGTGTCCCACAAGCCTCAGCTCTTCCTGCTTCATAGTTATCGGGAAATTCACTTGCATCAAACATAGGATTGGAAACCATGGTGTCTGTGGACATTTGTGACCCTTTCCGTCGAAACTCCATGCTAGCTTGTGTTGTAATGGCTGGGGAGAAAAAAGGAGGGTTTTATTATATTTGTTGATATGCAAATAGGCTCATGGGACCCTGGACACAAAGATCAAATGTCGGTGTCATTAAATAGCTACTTGAATAGAATCCAATAATGCTTTTGTTTAGCAACTAGGTCTTAATTTTTTTTTTAAAGGGCTCTCTGAAATCTTTGAAAAGGGGTAACAATTAGCTTACAGTGGTACTATCAGTTAACAGATTCAACAAGAAGCATTTTTCAACTGAATTTTTGATTAGTAGAGTACATTTATATATATCTGTATTCACACACATACAGATATATAACACAGAATTTGGCTTTTCTATCTTTTTCCTCTCCCAATAAAAGTGATGCTTAAACAATAAGAAAAATAGGTGCTGCAATTTACACATTACCCCAGGCAGACATCATAACTGAATGGGTAATCCCATGCCAGGGTGTATACTTTAGGGAGAGGACAAGGTAAGGGCAGAATGGGTAAGGAGGAAGAGAGAGCATTCCCACCACCCACCCAATTCCAAAACACACACCAAAGAATTGCTCAACCAAGCAAAATGAGAATGAATTTTAACAACCACAGACAGCAGCTAACTTGAGGCTGATAAATCAGAAAATTGGATTGGGTAAGAAAGATTATCATGGTCATTTGTTGTCACTGAAACAGAAGCCCTTCGAAAGTTGCTCGTGTTTTTAGGAAAAGATTTCATTGTGTATTGAAAGTCACTCTGAAATCTTTTATCACTCTACATGAAATGTTTAAATTATTTTATAGTAATAGATTTAACAGAATGCAGAGTCAAGCATAAATCTTTATGCAACTTCCCATGAGCCATTTTTAGTCCTGAATAAGGTATCCAGCAATAATACATTTGAAAAACACTACATGCAGAATGCATACAAATCAAACACTAAATCTGTATAAAAATAAGCTTAAGCTTTAAATTAAAAAAAAAAATAAAAGCCAAAACACAGTTAGTGCAAAATCCTGGAATTCATGACATGACCAGACTAGTGTACAAAAATAATGGGACTGATTCAGGCAGATTAATTTGCTTTTGCCAACAATCTTCCCCATTCAAAACACAGAAAAGTATTTTTCTTCCCAAGTGCAAAAACTACAAGAGACAATGACAATCAAAAATTTTAATGGAATTATGAAAAAAATAAAAACATGACTGCAATTAAGGAGAAGCTTCTGGTTCCTACTTACAAGATTTATAAGAAAGAAGAATTTGGATAAAAGATGCTGCAAGATAATAGAAATAAATGGAAACAAATCAAAGGACAGCAGTAATTATAAAATACTTTAAAGATGGTGAAATTTTACAATAAGTTAAGAAGCTTTTTAGCTTTTTAAAAGTTAGGTTAAAAGCTTTATGATACCACAAGCTAGTTCAAAAACAGGAAATTGTGCATTCAGATCCAAAATTATGATTTTTGTATCATGCAAAACAATGAACGAAGAAAATTACACAACTACAAGGAATTGAGGTTCTGAACTGCCCATTACGTGCATTAAAATTTTAGTTTATTAACCCTTCCCAGCTCAATGTTACATTTACAAAGCACTGTGTACTGTCATGTAAATCTAAAGCTAACTAGTTCATAGAAGCAAACATTTTAAGTTAGAGGTGAACTATATGGCAGAATTCCTTGATGGCAGCCAGTACTTAGAAAACAGACTAACAGAGTTAGTATTCTCCAACTTTCCACCACCCTCAAAACCTCAACAGCAGCACCCAAAAGGACTCTAACCCATTCAACTGTCTGGACACCTCCTATCTCCTGAGTAATACAACAGCTTTTCTCACCCCTGAACACAAGGTCGGAGAAGAAGAGCTGCTATCCTTTCCCCACCAAGGAAAATGGTTAGGAGTTGAAAAGAAGAATTAGTTGCCCACATACGATGTGAATTTTAGTTTCTATCTTTTGGCACAAGAAGATGAGCAAAGCTGTTAAAAACTCCCTATTGAGTGGGAAGATTTTTAAGTTCCCTTTAAGCAAGCCCGCCAAAAAAGCAGCAGGTTGAACCACTCTGGATTCAGGGATTTTTATTGTCAACAGCTTGATACCCAAAAGTTACACTGTAAAAGAATTATATCTTAGTGAAAATAAATATCTGACTGACTCAATCTAGAAAATATAATACAATAAACATAAACATGGGTCATAAAATTCAAAATATAAGGCACATGAACATAAGAAAATATAAGTTTTTTAAGTGTTTTCATTTAGTCATCAAATAAATACATTTACTTATCCATAAGTCAAACTTGTAAATAAAATATGAAATGGTAGAATAAAAGGTATCTGAATTTGAACAAAACAAACAAGGAATCCCTAAACTCAATCATGCAACCTCAAATTATATTCCTGAAAATGCCTTTATATCCACTACTCTTCTAAAAATTATTTAAAGATTTCTAAGAACATTGAGAATAACTACATGTGTATAATGCTAACAGCCATAGACCCTTAGTTCTGAGATGATATATAAAAGAAAAGAATATTTCTGAGAGAAAGCAAGAGACCTTTATGGCTTTTTTATTAGTTTTATCCTTGAAATCAACGCTCCCCAGAGATGCACTGTGTGTGGTAGTCGCTCAGATGGGTCTGACTCTTTGCGACACCATGGACTGTAGCCCACCAGACTCTTTTCTCCATGGAATTCTCCAGGCAAGAATACTGGAGTGGGTTGCCACTCCCTTCTCCAGGGGATCTTCCCAACTCAGAGATAGAACCCGCGTCTCCTGCATTGCAGGCATATTCTTTACTGTCTGAGCCACCACGGAAGATGCATAATCTAATGCAATTAGGCATCCTTTTATCTCAAGTTCTTTCCAACCCCAGGGGAAAAGTGCTTTTCTTACCAATCAACCAATATTAATTATATTACTACATAGAGCAGAATTAATGCATAAAGCACAGTGCCTGGTACAAAGTAACCACAGCTCAATAAATGTTAGCCATTATTATTATTCAGCTCTATTCATTCAGTAATAAATATTCAATATATTCTACAGGACCCCACCCTCCCATCCTGCACCCTAATGCCACTACTTACAACTATAATGGTAAGATGACATAGATCAGATTTAGATAAGAGTTTCATTTCTGTAATAAAATCTAAATGAAGATATCAAGGTTGAGTTATTAATTCTTTATTAGTCTTAAAAATGATATTTTTTAAAAATTTGTCCTTGAAATAAACTTTTCTAGACTGAAACCTAAAAGGATAGTCTTCTGTGAAGCAGAAATTTGATTTACATGTAGTAACGAGTGAATGGCTGTCAAAATCTAAGAAAACACTTTTTGTGAATAAACTTCCGGTCAATCATGTTTAATTCTTTATATCAATATTATCCAATTTATATCAGTATTATCCTGGCTGACATGAAGGGAACTTCCAGGTCACCTACTGAAAGGAATCTGATTGAACAAAATGTGGCTAACCTGAAGTGTGTCTAATAAAACCAAACAAAAGCCAAACCTCATAGAATAAACATGAAAAGGACACGTAGGAAAACGTTTAAACCTACTTCAGCTGGAAGGGGTTAAGCACAAGACACTGCTTGGTCAGAGACAGAGAACTTTTTAAGATACATGTTAATCTTGCAGGTAGGAAAGATAAAAAAGAAAAAAAAAGGAAAGAAAAAAATGATAACGTATTTCTTGAGCAATATTTACCAGTCATGCTGCTGTCTCTGTTTATCCCATTATGAAGTTTACAGTGAACAAATGCTGCATCAAATAACCATGATCCAAAGAGATTCAAGATGCTGTTAACCTTTGGTCTCCGGGGGGCAGGCAGTGGCCGGGGTTCTGAACTAGTCTGATTTGGACTTGATAGAGGAGAGGTGGAGGATGGCTGATGCTGAACTTTCGAGGCGTGAGCAGTACTAACCTGTTAGAAGAACACAAGAGTCACAAGAAGTCTGCGAAAACAGCAGGACTTTTTTTTTTTTCATTTATTTTTATTAGTTGGAGGCTAATTACTTTACATCATTGCAGTGGTTTTTGTCATACATTGAAATGAATTAGCCATGGATTTACATGTATTCCCCATCCTGGTCCCCCCTCCCACCTCCCTCTCCACCCGATCCCTCTGGGTCTTCCCAGTGCACCAGGCCCGAGCACTTGTCTCATGCACCCAACCTGGGCTGGTGATCTGTTTCACCCTAGATAATATACGTGTTTCGATGCTGTTCTCTTGAAACATCCAACCCTCGCCTTCTCCCAGAGTCCACAAGTCTGTTCTATACATCGGAGTCTCTTTTTCTGTTTTGCATATAGGGTTATCGTTACCATCTTTCTAAATTCCATATATAGAACATAGGCAAAACACTCTCCGACATAAATCACAGCAGGATCCTCTATGACCCACATCCCAGAATTTTAGAAATAAAAGCAAAAATAAACAAATGGGACCTAATGAAACTTAAAAGCTTTTGCACAACAAAGGAAACTATAAGCAAGGTGAAAAGACAGCCCTCAGATTGGGAGAAAATAATAGCAAACGAAGCAACAGACAAAGGATTAATCTCAAAAATATACAAGCAACTCCTCCAGCTCAACTCCAGAAAAATAAATGACCCAATCCAAAAATGGGCCAAAGAACTGAACAGACATTTCTCCAAGGAAGACAGCAGGACTTTTTAAAAGGATGGCAGATTAAACAGCCAATTTTATACAGTATAATAATGGTGATGAAAAATCTTACTGTGCTTGTCTTCATGGTGGCCTTATTCACAGTAACAGCCCGGTGCCGCCGGTTATGTGGTGGGGTGGTATTGACAGCAGTGCTCTGAGGCATACTCAATCTATTCACGGGTGTTGGAGGAGCACTGTCTGATCGGGGTCTAGAAATGCCTTTAAAGAAAGACAAAAGGAGTTATTCTTCATAGTTCAAAATATGTGGTCAGCAAATCTGCCTCAAGCAACACTGGTGAAGGCTCAGGACCGACTAGTATAGCAGAGACTACAAGCTGCCTCCCAGTTGCCACCCATCCTTTCTTCCTGAGTTACACAACACAAAACTTAGCTGGACGTGGCTACCCAGAATAAACAACTACATTCTGAAGGCTCCTTTATGGCCAGATGTGGCCATGTTCTGAACATAGAGAAGTGGGTGATTACTGGGTGAGTCTTCTCCAAAAACCTCCTTTTAAGTGTCTTTTAAGGACCAATCAAAGGTAGCTGCTTCTTCCTTCCCAGTTACTAAGAGGATGGCTGGAACTCTTTCGACCATCATGGCCCATGAGAGTGGCCACAAAGGAAGAAGAGCTAGAAGATGGAAGTGTCCTGGGTTTCTGACAATGGTGGAACTGCCATAGCAGCCCTGTACAGCTTAGCCTGGGGCTTAACATGTATGAAAATAAGCTACCATGTTTAAACCACTGGTATTTTTGACCAAGTGGCAGCCAAACTTAACTGAACTAATGTATTACCTCTGTAATACCTCTGTAATAATATTAAGTACACATAACAAATGTTTTTTAAATGACAGGTATTACATATCAAGGGCTTCCCAGGTGGCACTAAAATCCGCATGCCAATGCAGGAGATGTAAGAGATGCGGGTTCGATCCCTGGGTCAATAAGATCCCCTGGAGGAGGAAATGGCAACCCACTCCACTATTCTTGCCAGGAGAATTCCATGGACAGAAGAGCTTGGCAGGGTACAGTCCATGGATGGGATCGCAAAGAGTCGGACACAACTGAGCATCTGAGTACATTAAATATCACTGCTCTTTAACAGGTCAAAAAAATTCTGACTTTTCATGTGAAAAGCAGTTTAAAACAAGGTTTCACAAAATGTATAATTTGCTTCCTTATGATTCATATAAGAATGATACCTAACACATTTTAAACTGTATTTTCTAGGATTATTAGTGAAATGACACTTCTTTCTTTTGCAAATTATTCATAGCCTTTGTCCACTTATCTACCGGGTCTTATTCTTTTCTCTTTGCATCACCTGATCTACCCAGCATTTATATAATAATAACAAAAACACTCAGGCTATTACATTAGTTGCAAGTAATTTTTCCTAGTTTACTACTTGGCAGTCAAATCTCTTTGTCTTTTTCTTTGGGCTGTCCCCTAATAGCCTCTAAAACCAGACTCTAGAATTATCTTCAAACATCCAGCAACATACACAAAATTCACCTAAGAATGCATCCACCAGACAGCTGATTCCACGCATGGCACGAAAAAATATTTGAGGCAGATGTTTAAGGCAGGGATACTGATTCAATTCTTGTGGCATTCCGCTCACATTTAAGAACTGTTCCTGAAATTTGGGAGTAGAGCTTATAATGGCTGGATTACTCAAATCCACGGGATTACTATCAAAAGAGAGAGCAAGAATTAATTACACATTTAGAAATTTCTTTAGCAATAAAATGCATGCAATCTAAGTTTAAGAACAGGGCTGTGTGTACCTATTTGATTCAGAGAGGAGATGAATCTGTGTTTAATAGGCTAGGGAAGCAAACATCAACTCTACAGAAGACCTGCAGTGTGCTTACATAAACTTCATTTGCCTATTCAGAGAATGAGAACCAAAATAAGACTAGTAATTTTTTATTTTTTAAAAGCATATATGGATATATTGTTATATGTTTGGAATTAAGCAATAGAATGGTAAAATTATAAATAAATGTACAAGAACCTCAAGGAGAAAATTTTACTTTAGTATTAATATTTCCAATTTTTAAAAAACTGTGTGAAAATAAGGATTAGTGCTTACATTCTTGTGCATGCACTCAAGTCATACACTTCGATATATTTAAAACAACATATTTGGGCTTGAGTATTTCCACTGAAAAAAAAAAGATTTATGTTTTCACTCAAAACAGTCCGCTTAAGTGTCCATTAAACAGCCTTTCCAACTCAAAGTAATAATGTTAGTTAACGCATAGCCAGCCACTTGGAAAGAACTTCCGCTAGCTACAAGATCAAAAGAATTAGGCTGAGGAATAAAAATCAGTGGTTTATAGAGGACCTGGGCCTTTGAAACCTGTTTCCATCCAGTTAGACTCTTAATTTCAAGTAAATGAAAGTGAGGACAGAGGAATGTGTGTGCTCGTATGGAAAAGGACTTCAAGTATTAGCATACTGTATCCACAGAACTGTAGTTCACTCAGTGAGGTAGAGAAGAAAAGAAGCCTCTAAGGACTTCCCTGGCAGTGCAGTTGGTTAAGAATCTGCTGTCAGGGCAGGGGATGCAGTTTTAATCCCTGGTTGGGGAACCAAGGTTCTACGTGCCTCAGGGCCAGAGACAGAGAGCAGTGCACACGCATACAGCAAAACAGCCGAGAGAGATGATAGAGCAGCCTATCCCAAGGCTGCCCAGATCCTTCCAATCATGAGTACTGAATGTTTACTGCTTCCCAACGCCTAATGAGACCTCTTTATCATCACACAATAACCCCCTTTTCACCAGAATTTGTTCAAATTCCTATTCTGTATATCCAAAAAAAAAAGTGACTAAAACATTCTTTCAGCTCAAGAAGAAGGACAGAGTATGAAGAGATCAATTAATAGTGAAGGAGTAGGGGCTTCCCTGGTGGCTGAGTGGTAAAGAATTTGCCTGCAAATGCAGGAAAACACAGGTTCGATCCCTGGTCTAGGAAGATCCTACATACCATGGAACAGCTAAGCCCACACACCACAACTACTGAGCCTGTGCTCCAAAGTCCAGAAGTCACAACAACTGAACCCACGCACTGAAAACTACTGAAGCCCACACGCCCTATAGCCTATGCTCCACAAGAGAAGCCATCCCAATGAGAGGCCCATGCAGCGCAACAAAGAGCAGCCCCTGCTCACTGCAACTGGAGAAAAGCCCCTGCAGCAACAAAGACGCAGCACAACCAAAAGTAAAGAAATAAACAGCGAAGGAGCAGGAAAAGACTATCTAAGAACTACCACTAAAAAAAAGAACTACCATTAAAAAAGATTCCACTACTACAGTTTTACTGGTGGCGTATTTCAAACTCTTAAGGAATATATAACTTTCATACAACAGAGTACAGAAAAAGATAAGAAGTTTCCTAAGTTTTTTAAAGTTGCCAAAATATAAATTAGTCAAAAGACAGAAAGAGAGATAATTTGGGAAAATATTAAAAGAACAACATTCCATAATCAAGCAGAACTTATCTTTAAAGGATGCAGGATGATTCAACACTGGGGAAAAAAATTAATATACTATCAATAGATAAAAGAAGAAAAGATATTTAATTGCTTAAATGGATCCCAAAATATGACTTGAAAATAATTCAGCACTATTTCCCATTTATATTTTTAAATTTAAAATTCTTTAATTGCTTATGAAATCAAGAACACAAGAAATAGTAACTATCTAATATTAACAACACCCCATTCAAAATTTCAGGCAGTAGAGGCATTCGAATGAAAATCAGAAAAGAGGGATGTCAAAACAGTGTCATTTTAACCCAACAGCGCTGTAGAAATTCTGACCAGTAAAACATACAAAAATTATTGTAACAAAATGGCAACTTTTCAAGCACCTAACACATACTAGATGCACTGTTTCACATTTTCTTCAATTCTTATAACAAGATGGATAATATTATTATCCCCATTTTATAGATTAAAAAGAGACTGAGACTCAGAGAGACTAAACTACTTGCTCAAGCTCACAAAGGAAAAAGTAGTAGAACATGAACTCATACACAGGTCTTACTGCAACCAAAACACTTTTAATGAATTACCACAGACTCAAGTATAAATTACTAGAAAGGAGACATTTCTTATTTGCAGATATGTGCAAATATATGTGTCCATTATATCTAGAAATCTAAGAAGAATCAGTGAAATACAGCATTTTAAAACCCCAAATATAATATACAAAAGTAAAATAGGTAAAGCATCTTCTTTACAGCAGCAATAGCCACTTGCAAGATTTAACAATAGAAAAAAAAGTTAGCCTTTCACAACATCAGCAATAAATATAAAGTAATAATGGCAAGAAAAATTATGCATATGTACAAGACACTTCTGCAACATATTTACGATTCTTAAAAAGAAAAATACCTACTCTTGAAAGGCAACCACAATATATGAAGATGTCAGCTGCTTCTAAATATAATACAAGCTAATACAATTCTCATCTTTGGCAGAGATGAGAATTGCTTAGCTGTTTGGTAATTTCTCCTTTCCTCCTATGCTCTCTTGTAATTTAATGTGGCATATGTGAGTTCCAGCCAAAGGAATATGGGTAGCAGTGATTTCACATCAATGTAGGAGCTGGTCCATAAAACTTTCTACATAATTTTCCTTGCTTTCTCTTTTCCATCTTCTAGCCAGATACAGAGGCTTCTGCCTACAGAGTTAATGCCCTGATAAAGCCCCATGTTGAAGATGGTGGAGTCTTTGCCAGCCTGAGGCCCTGAACAATTACCTGAGCAAAGCTGCTCCTTACCCAAGGCTTTTATGAAACATATTGTACTACGCCACTAAGATTTTCAGGTTCATCTGCTAAAGCAGGACATGTTCCTTACCCTAATATATACTCCAAACCCCAACAGATTTTGTGAGGTTCTTCTCTTCACATGTGCTTTATAACATGTCAAATGGATTATAAAATTCATCTAAAATGCTAAACAGGCAAGAGGGATTCTTAAAAATATTCTAAGAAGTGGAAAAAGGGAAAAGTCGTTAGTTCTACCAAATACCAATAACTATCTATAGAAGGTTAAAGTAATTAAGTGTGACTCTCCTATAAGAATGAATGAAAAAATCAATGGAATAATATGCAACCCAAAGACAAAACCCATACATATAAATGAACTTAATGGCAAAAAGGAAACAAAGTCAGAAGCAGTGAGTGAGTACAGGTGAGTATCTACCTGATCAAAGTACACAAAAAACTTTCTAATCTTAAAGGAAACAGAAAATGGTCACAGAAAAAGGTAGATGTAAAAAAATAAACTAAAATCACTGAAAGATGAAAAACAAACTACAAACTAAAAAACAAAATGATAGAAAATAGTTAAGATCCCTAATTTATAAACAGGTCATACAGAGTAATTCAGAATCATTAATATACAAACAGAAAAATGAGGCTCATCAAACCAGAAAGAAAAGAAATGCAAGGAAAAAGTTTATGAATCAAGACAGCACACAACAGAATTAAAGTTCCACAGAGCACAAAGACGGGGCTAGAAGAGAAAATGGTAGGAAGCAATGAAATTGAATTGAAAACAATATCATAAGAAAGAGCATGATGTATTATTACTTTTAGCAATTTGTTCCTCTGTGAAATTTTATACTGTTCCCTTAGTGGAATTTTAAACAAGGCTACCAGAGAAAAGGCCCTGAGAATAAGACTCATCAGTCAGCGCTGGTCACAGAGAGGAACAAGGTAGTCTTCAGCCCCCACAGCATGTGACAGAGTCCTGGAAGAGAGGCGGTCACAGAGGCAGCAGCAACAGGCCAGAAAACAAATGCTGCACCTATCGCAGGGAACAAGCCCCTAGAGAGTGCGGCCCAAGAGCAGCTGCGGAGAGCCTGATCCTGCCAGGATGGAAGGGGCACTTGACGCAGATGAGCATACTGTCCAGTTTGGCTCCATCTGACCCCTGGGCTTAGCAGCCACACTGTGAACTCCAACAAGGAGTTATAGTACGGTTCCTGCCTAAGACATTTAGTAGGTAAGGACACATTTGAAATACAACAACAAGGGTACCTTAACATATGTAAAAAGCGAAACCATGTCTGTGCAACACACTCGTTATCCATTTCAGGAGGGATCAGACTGGCATCTTCATCGGGAACTTTAAATGGAGGAAATGAAGGACCATATGTAAAGCGTAGCAATCTGGAAAATTAAAAAAAAAAAAAATCACACCACTAAATTCATTTTAACAGAACTGAAGATACATTCAAGCATTAAAATATAGTAAGATAAATAGGATAGGACAAAATAGATGAAACTTGTATTATACCTCACTGAGGTGAGTAAAATAAATGAAAACCATTTTATAAAATAAACTGGAAGAGGACTTTCAGTTTTGTAAAAATTATTTCAAAATATTTACTGCTTTATTTAAATAATTAATATTTATAATTTAGTTCATACATTTGTTATATGATTTATATTATAAATTTGTTACTTATAAAATTATTTCTTTATAGCTTATTAATTTTATTTTACTTATATGATTTCATTATAATTATAAAATGATGTGATTTTATAAATTAGATATTGCTCCTCATATTATAAATTTTAATATATCTTATTATATATAACATAGTATGTAATATACAACACTGTATATAACACTTATACAGAATATAATTTTATAATGTATACTATAAATTTCAAATTATATATAATTTTATAAAATTACAAATTATTTAAAATTTTAATTTGTAACTGCAAATAACAAATAAATCATTTAATCATGCACAATTACACTTATGTTGATTATATAGTCATACAAAATAAATTCTTTTTAAAAGATTCATCACACTGCAAATGCCTTCAACATAACTAATTTATTATAATTTATTCATAACAACTGCAACATAACTTTACATGAAGTTTAGAATTTATGGTATGTGTCCCATAAATTGAATTTGACAATTCAATTACTTAACTAAATACTAATATTCCAAATGTATTAAAACTGTTCAAAGCCCTTTGACTTAATTATTAATCTATTATACTCAGAATGGATTATGATCTACTATAGCTAATTTAAATATATCTTAATAAAATAACCAGAATACATACAAAGACTAAGTGTAAAGTACTCACAAATCAACAATATATATATTTTTTTACTTTTATATCCTTCTTTATTTAGCTTTCTTTGTTTTGTTTTTTTCTGCCCCACTGAGTGACTCATGGGATCTTGATTTTCTGACCATGGACTGAACCCAGGCCCTTGACAGTGAGGGTACAGAGTCCTAACAACTGGCTACTGCTGCTACTGCTAAGTCACTTCAGTCGTGTCCGACTCTGTGCGATCCCACAGACAGCAGCCCACCAGGCTCCCCCGTCCCTGGGATTCTCCAGGCAAGAACACTGGAGTGGGTTGCCATTTCCTTCTCCAATGCATGAAAGTGAAAAGTGAAAATGAAGTCACTCAGTCATGTCCAACTCTCAGCGACCCCATGGACTGCAGCCCACCAGGCTCCTCCGTCCACGGGACTCTCCAGGCAAGAGTATGGGAGTGGGTTGCCACTGCCTTCTCCACTAGACCACCAGGGAATTCCCAACAATAGTTTTAAAAAGAAAAAAACAGAGAACAATTTAAATATCAAAACAGCAGAGAAACTATTAAATGAATTATAATTCCATTTATATAATGAAAAACTATAAAGCCATTTAAAATAGGATCTTGAGATCTACGTAAGAAAAAAGGTGCATGTAATTACTGTGACAAGAATCAGACATCAAGTTAAAAAACAGCAGGTAACACTATATAGAATAATCTCGAATTGATTTTTTTAAAAAGATAGAAAAAAATATATTCAAAGATTGGTTATTTTTAAGTGATGAATATTCCCCCTTATGTCTTCCAAATTTTCCATAATAGGCATGTATTGCACTTTTATAATCAAGATAAAAGGATGTATTATTTAAAAATAGATTCATAATAGTGACATTCATAAAGATATACCAGAATAAACAAAAATTCATCTTAGTTTAAATGATGATAAAGATATATATGTTAACTCATAAAAAGACCAATCTATCTTCTGATACCTAATACCATCTATAAATTATCTGTTCCCACCTCCACCACTAACCCTCCCATTAAGTCTAAATCAGAGTAAGCCTCCAGTCTCCTGTCAGATTAACCACCAGCTGACAGGAAATATAAGGGACAGAGATATTAATTAACACAACTAGGACATAATCTGAAAAATCCAGAATGTGAAGCATTCAATAAGACAAACCTACCCAGTTCAACAACAACAAAAAAACCTGCAAGGAAATTAAAATGAGAGAGCAGGAACCTACAGTTTAAAATAGGCTTAAGAAATATGTCAACTAAATACAATGTCCAAACCTTGTCTGTGTTCTGATTCAATGGAATCAAGTATTTTCCCCCCCAACCACCACCGGCCCCAGCGCCCCCCACAAAAAAAGAGGCTCAATGGAATTAAGTATTTTAAAAAGTTGAGACATTCAGGAACATCTCAACACTCAACAGCTTATCAATATTAGAAAACTGTTAATGTTTTGTTCATGTATGATAATGGTATTGTGATCATGTTTAAAAAAGAATGCTCAGCATATATTACAAAAAATGAAAAAAAAAAAAGTCTGAAAAAAATGAAGCCTAATGGTTTACTCACAGAATAGTGATGATACTATATACAAATGGCTAAAAAATACCCAAAAAACAAAATCATTATTATAAAAAACTGCCTACTTTGGTTATAGACGAGAACATTATAGTATGATCCTATTTCTGTAAAATTACAAATAATCAGATTTCTGGTGAACTTCACTCTTTCTGTTATAACTTTCTTTGGCTTATTTTTTTTTAACAATGATCTTAAACATTTTGGATTTCTCTGGTGGCTCAGACCATAGCGCGTCTGTCTACAACGCGGGAGACCTGGTTCAATCCCTGGGTCAGGAAGATCCCCTGAAGAAGGAAATGGCAACCCACTCCAGTATTCTTGCCTGGAAAAATCCCACAGACGGAGGAACCTGGTAGGCTACAGCACTGGGGGGTCACAAAGAGTCGGACACGACTGAGCGACTTCACTTTCACTTTCTTTCTAAACATTTTAATAATTAGAATTAGAGTGGGATTTGGGGGGTGGGAATAGTAGGGCTCAGAATTCATCTACTTCTCCAAAATACTTTCTCAATCTAAAAGGTTTTACATTAGACAGGTACTAGGCCAACTGCTACATCTATTTTTAAAAGTTGATTGATTCTATTAACTAAAGTGTAATAATAAGAGACACAGAATAGAGGTTTTTACCATGTACTCCATAAATCCCAGAAAGACACGGAATTAGGGGAAGGCTGCCTATGGCCAGACGGATGAAAGAAGGCAAGTTGATGACGGTAACTTACCTTGAAGTGAGCGCACAGATGACCTTGCTCCACTGCTCCACCACTGCTGGGTGGTGCCTCCAGTTAGCCACCATCTCCTTGGCTGTTTTCCAGTAAGGAGGTGTTGGGAAGCACCGCGTACATGCTAGTAACCAAACCTCAAAGAGAACACCAATCAACTTCTCTGCTAGATTCTCAGCAATGCCACCTTACCAACAAAAAGAAAACATCTTTGGCATACTTATTTGTAAAGCAGAATCTTTAACTCACTGATCTGGGAGAACTGGTCAAAAAATTAAAATAACTGCAATGTTAAGTTTTGACTTTCAAATAACCACTTAATAGTAAGAACAAAAAACTACTCTAAGGAGCTCTTATGAAGGAGATCATGAACACATCAACCCATTATCATGTGGGAAGTTTTCAAGTGGCCCTGCTGGGTTCTCATGGAAGCTCTTAACCTTCCAGTAGTGAGACAGGAGCACACACGGAAGAAGGGAAAGGATGAGTGCCTACAATGAACAAGTGCTAGTAGTCAGTGTCTGTGCCACACAGCTCATACACGTGACCGCACATTCATTCTGCAGGGTAGGTTTTTACATCAATAATATCTATTACCAATTATCAACTATATCCATTTTGAAGATGAGAAAACAGGTTCTGGAAATTTAAGTAACTTGCCCAAGTTCACACAGCCAATAAGAAAAGGAATCAGAATACCTGAGACTTCCTACCTTCACACTTTGCTATGAAATGCTTCATGTGTTTGAAAGCCACCCTTCAAGGCAGAGGGAGAAGGAAGGGAGCCAAAGGTCTGGTTCTGGCAGGACAAAGCCTCAACCATGAAAACAGAGCTGCTGCTCGGCTCCAGCCTGGGAACTAAGGAGAACAGCGGCGGACTGTACTCTGCCTGGCCAGAGAAGGAAAACTGGATTCCCATACAGAACGAAAAGTTCTAAGGATTTCAAATGAGCAAAAACGAAGTTTCAACAATAATAAGCTCCAGAAGGGGATGCATGGCTTGACTTATGGTGCTGAATCCCTGGCATGGGGATTGTTTAAGAGAGAGGCACATTACCTGTCTGGCTAGCTCATCGCCAATCCCAGAGAGGGTATTTCTATTATGGAGTCCCTTTCAAGACACTAAAATTCTTCCTGGAGACTGCATTTATGTGAAAGCACAAGCACACTCACATGTGTCAGTAAAAAGAATACACAGATGAATAAGCAACAGGAGAATTTGGAACTAGAATTATCAACTTATTGTCTGTGTATACTGTGCTATATTATACAAATCAAGACATCTTAAAATACATTCTAAACTCATAAAACTGAAGGCTTTTTGATAGCTAGGTAATGAATGACATACTTGTCATACTTCCAAATAGAATACTTTTAAGATTTTCTAGGTTTCATTTGCTAAACAAAATAATCTTCTGCAGCCATCGAGTTTTCAGTCTACCTGGATAACTATTTTGTAATCAGGTACATTAGTTGTTTCTTAAATAGGCTCTGTCCTAATACAATTAACAAGCTACTGTTACTGTCATTATCAAACATGTATTAATTCACTGAGTCTCTCCTCATATTGGTTTGTCAACTATAGTGCCAAATTTTAAATCTTGACTGAGTCTACTACTCATTGAGTCTAAAAGTAAACTGTGTTTGGAGCTCAGCAATAAATCAGAAAAAATAATTAACAAACCTTGAACAGTTGGTGGCGCTAGAAGTATGTCATTAATCTGCAGAAGAAACAACAGTAAGACTTCCCAGGTTTCTCGGGCCATAATGGATGACTCACGGGCCAGTTTTTGAATGGCTCTCAGGACCTGTAAGCATAGTCGGATCTGACTGGAGCCCTGTTCCTGTCTAAAGAAGACAGATCAGACATCACTGACAAGCTTAAGGACAGAATACAACAGTTATAGACAGGCAACTCCCTAAGAGCACCAGCAGACAGAACTAGGCGCACCCTCTTCAGTTCAAAGCTACTTCGTCCCCATGCAGTCTGGCATTCTGGGATCTAAACCTACCACTCCTAAAGAGCTTGAAAAGCTCCCAGGGAGAGGGAGGATACTAGAAAGTGGACTTCACCTCTGGGTTTTCTATGTCTGAAATGTGCCTGGCATATACGACAGATACTCCATAGGTTTCTGCTGAATGAATGAGTAAATACTCACAGCCACTTCTGCTGCTCACACAGCAGAATGCCTTTGTATTCTTTCAAAAAATTTTAAACATATGTTCACAAGAATTCAGCATGAATTTCATAATGCTCACAATCCGTGTGAAGTTCATGTCTGCTAGAGAAGAGCCTAAAAAATGAAATATCCTAACAGGTCCCCAAAACTGATGGGATGTAGAGACAACTTCCTCAGAAATAAGCACCTGCTAACTGCAGGTCTACTAAAAAAAGGCAACTTAACCCAAAGCTACCCAAGATACTCCCAAAGAAGTTTTGTAACTCTCTTTAGTTCACAACACCATTTTTCGCCAACAGTATTATTACATCAGCGTATCAGGGCTAGGGTTGAGGAGGAAGATAAAAGTACAAGTCCCAGCCCGTATCCCCACTGTCCAACATGGATCACCTTAAGATTTTCAAGAATCATAGTAAACCTACTGCATTGGCAAATAGTGAATTGGCTTCCAGAGTTCCCATGAGAAAACCAAGGCAAGTAACTAATATTACTGAAATAAATCTTGAGGCCAAGTTTCTACATGACTCATGTCACAAAGAATTAATAAAACATGTCTCTATCAGAGGAGGGAATCTCAGAGCCTCCTCGAGAAATCCAGACAATGAAGTGAGTGCTCTTAGAACTGCCATCACAACCTCAGAATAAAGATTCTCAGATTCTGGGCCATGACCCATAAAACCAAACACTTACACTAGAGCTGCAAGAAAACAACCTAACCCTAAGTTCCCCCTAAAAAGCCAGACCTAAAGTGAAATGATGAGACATTCACCTAGGAAAAGACAAGAGTCCCCAAGAACAGGGAGATGTCCCACGTTCAGTTTGAGGTGAATCCGGAACATGGGAAACCAAGAAGCTCAAGCTTGTGTCTGCTGGTCTGCTACTAAGCAAGAGTAAGAAATATACAATAGCCCCAAACCTCATGTAGCCATATAAGAGGAAACCCAGAGTAAGAAATAAAAATACCACTAGTGGTCCTGGAGGCGACACTCTTACAAGCTAGCAATAACACTACAAACTTCCCAAATGGTAACCCAGGCTTACCTACCATTCCTAGTACTACCTGCCTAGTGCAGAAAAGGAAACATCTGTTTCTTAGGTACTGTGGCATCACTCAGACAGCCTAAATTCAAGAGCAGTGTCCAAGTTTCTACAGCTAAGAGAAACAAGGTAATCTTTACTGAAAAAGAAATAGAAAGGTCGAAAACGCTCTTTTCGACCTAAAGGAGGAAAATGTACTTTTTCCCCTAATATTTCCAAAAGCAACTTGTGAACTTTAGGAAAACTATTCTAGAACAGGAGCTGGTGAACTATGTATGGCCTGTGGGTCAAATCTGGCCTGTCATCTATTTTTGTAAAAAAACTTTATAGGAACACAACCATGCTCATTTATTTATATATCATCTATGGCTGCTTCTCTGTATCAGCAGAGTTGAATAGTTGTGACAGACACTACGGCATGGCCCACAAAGCCTAAAATATTTACTGTATGCCTCTTTACAAAAAAAGTTTGCCACTGCTTTAGAAGAATGTCATACTTTCTAAAGTACAGTGTATTCGAGCAATGAAGACCCTAATCAGTTTTAAATGATGGGTCACTCTTCACTCAGCTATGTGCTCCCCCAAATCAAACTGATAGGCAAAAGAGAAAGGCTACATCCATTCTGACCTAATCTTTAGGAAAGTGGTAGAGGCTGTTTCCTCTATTTTGAGTGTTAGTTTTCATAAAAACAACTACTTAAGTAAACTTGATTTTGTGACTATTTGACTCAAAAAACAAAAACAAAAAACTCCCAATAACAGGAGATAAGATCATAACTCCCAATATTTAGCACTGAAAATATTTAGCTCCCTAAGATACAATTAGCCAGGAGAACTCTAATACTCAGTTCAGCACCCTCTCAGAATTATGCACACTTTTGGGAAAACAAGCTAATTACCAAATAGTAAAATGAACCATTTATATGGTAGTCATGCTTCTTAAAAGAGAAAAGCAAAAGTCTAATTAATATAAATGCAACTGATTTTTCTCATCAATAAAATTAACTGAGTCCTGAGAGTTGGTAAGAGTACAAAGAGGAGACAATACCACCCGGGAAACTCTCCCATTTACTAAGAGAGCCTAGTGAGTTAGTCTCCTAAATGGGATAATAAGAAAGCATTAAAAGTATTATCATTTTAGAAGAACCTGCTTAGTTACAAACAATATGTCTTCCTACCACTTACTTGCCGCCATTTCCTGTTATAACTTCTATTTGAAATCAATAAATACAAACAACCAGCATTTAATTCACCCAAATGTAACCTAGACAGTGTATTAAAAAGCAGAGACATCACTTTGCCAACAAAGGTCCAAACAGTCAAAGCTATGGTTTATACAGTAGTTATGTATAGATGTGAGGCTTGGATCATAAAGAAAGCTAAGCACCAAAGAACTGATGCACGTGAACTGTGGTGTTGGAGAAGATTCTTCAAATTCCTTTGGACAGCAAGGAGATCAAACCAGTCAATCCTAAAGGAAATCAATTCCAAACATTCATTGGAAGGACTGAGGCTGAAGTTCCAATACTTTGGCCACCTGATGTGAAGAGCCGACTCACTAGAGAAGCCCCTGAACCTGGAAAAGACTGAGGGTAGGAGGAGAAGGGAGTGGCAGAGGATGAGATGGTTGCATGACATCACCGACTCAATGGACATGAGTTTGAGCAAGTTCTGGGAGCTGGTGAAGGACAAGGAAGCCCGGCGGGCGGCAGCTCACAAGGTCGCAGTGAGCTGGACACGACTGAATGACTACATCACCAGGAGAGGAATTGGGTGGCTGGTGACGGGGGCGATAAGGTTAAGGGGTTAACAGGCATACCTCAATGTACTGCACTTCATTTTATTGCACTTCACCAATATTGTGGGTTTTTTTACAAACTGAAGACTTGTAGCAACCCTACATTGACTGAACAGGTCTATATGTGCCATTTTCCCCACTGCATCGTTCACTCTGTGTCTCTATGCCACACTTTGGTAATTCTCAAAATATTTTCATTATTACTATATCTTTACAGTGATTTGATTATCAGTGATCTTTGATGTTACTACTGTAATTATTTTGCAGCACCACAAACAATGCCCATATAAGATGTCAAACTTCACTGATAAATGTGTCCTGACTGCTCCACCAACCAGCCATTTTCCTGTCTTCTCTTTCTCCTCAGGCCTCCCTATTCCCTGAGACACAGCAATATTGAAATTAGGCCATTTAATAGCCCTACAATGCCTCTAAGTGTTCAAGTGAAAGGAAGAATCATGTCTCTCACTTTAAATCAAAAACTAGAAATAACAAGTACCTACTGCAGAAATAACAAGTACCTACTGTAATAGCACAGGGAACCATATTCAGTATCCTGTAATAACCTATAATGGAAAAGAATCTGAAAAAGAACATGTGTGTGTGCATGCACGCACACAAAACTGAATCACTCTGTTGTATAACAAAATCTAACACAGCACTGTAGAACGGTAGAAATGACTAAGCTTCGTGAGGAAAGCAGGTCAAAAGCCAAGACAGGCTAGAAGCTAGGCCTCCCGCATCAGTAAGCCAAATTGTGAATGCAAAGGAAAAGCTTTTGAAGGGAAATTAAAAGTGCTACTCCAATGAACACACAAATGATAAGAAGAAACAGCCTTATTACTGATATGAAGAAAGTTTTAGTGTCTGGATAGAAGATCAAACAAACCACAACATTCCCTTAAGCCAAAGCCTAACCCACAGCAAGGCCCTAACTCTCTTCAATTCTGTGAAGGCTGAGAATGGTGAGAAAGCTGCAGAAGGAAAGTCTGAAGTCAGCAGAGGTTGGTTCATGAGGTTGAAGGAAAGAAGCTGTAGCCATTAAAAAAAAAAAAAAAAAAAGGTGTACATGCGGGGCAGGGGGCAGCAGCAAGATGAAGCAGCAAGTGCTAATGTAAAAGCTGTAGCAAGTTCTCCAGAAGATCTAGCCAAGATAATTAAGGAAGATGAAAGTAGCCAAACTAAACAACAGAATTTCAGTGGAGACAAAACAGCCTACAGGCTTCTATTGGAAGAAGATGCCACCTAAGTAGACTTTCATAGCTAGAGAGAACTCCTGGCTTCAAAAATGTAAAGGACAGGCTGACTCTCTTAATAGGGGCTAATGCAGCTAGTGGCTTCAAGTTGAAGCCAATGCTCATTTACCATTCTGAAAATCCTAGGATCCCTAAGAATTATGCTAAATCTACTCTGCCTGTGCTATATAAACGACAATAAAGCCTAGATGACAGCACACTGATTTATAATATGGTTTACTAGATATTTTAAGCCCACTGTTGAGACCTACTACTCAGAAAAAAAGATGCCTTTTAAAATACTACTGCTCATTTACAAAGCACTTGGTCATCCAAGAGCTCTGATGGATGTGGACAAGGAATGTCGCCTGCCATTTCAGTAAACAACGTTGTGGCCATAAAGCCACCAGTCACTACAGCCACCCCCTACAGTACACCCTAGGGGAATTCAGGACAGAGGAAAACAAAATACTGGGCCTACACAGTTCAGATGGATATCAAAGGAATAATTTCAATAAGCTCAAACTCTTGCATCTTCCTATACAAAGAAAGGCACTAAAATCATTAACTTGAGATGTCTTTTTTTTTTTTTTTGATTAGCAGTAATTTTTCATGTTCTGCTACACAGCTTTTTTTTTTCCTCCCAGCAAAACTCCTATATACCCTTGCTCCTTCCTTACCTCTTTGGAACACTCCCTCTGAGCATCTGAGAGGCGATATCCAGGTTACAGTTCTCAGTAAGTCCAATGAATAAAATGTAATTCTCAACTTTTAGGCTGTGCATTTTTTTTCAGTCAACACTGAAATGTACAATGAGATAAATGTTGCCTGCTAACCTACCATTCATTCTGCTGCCCATGGATGAAGGAGTAATTTCAACTTTCATGTCTTATTATTTAAAAAACACATTGGGTAAGACTATAGCTGCCATAGACACTGATTCCTCTAATGGATATTTTCATTTTCAAGTAGAAATTGAAAACTCTGTGGAAAAGATTTACTATTCTAAATGGCATTAAGAACATTTATGATTCATGGGAAAAGGTCAAAATATCAACATCAATAAGAGTCTGGAAGAAGCCGATTCCAATCCTCATGGATGACTCGGAGGGGCTTAAGACTTCAGTGGAGGAAGTGAATGCAGATGTGGTAGAAATAACAAGAGAACTAAAATTAGAAGTGGAACCTGAAGATGCGGCTGAATTACTGCAATCTCATGATAAAACTTTCAGGGATGAGGAGCTTGCCTCTTATAGATAAGCAAAGAAAGTGGTTTCTTAAGACGGAATCTACTCCTGGTGTAGATGCTGTGCACATTATTGAAATGAAAACAAACTAGATTTAGAATATTGCATAAACTTAGTTGATAAAGCAGTAGCAGGCTTTGACAGGATTAACTTTAATTCTGAAAGAACCTCTACTGTACGCAAAATGCTATCAAATAGCACTGCATGTTACAGAGAAATCATTCATGAACTGATGAGTCAATCAATGTGGCAAATGCCACTGTTGTCTTATTTTAAGAAACTGCCACATCCACTCAACCTGATCAGTCAGCAGCCATCAATATCAAGGCAAGACCCTCCACCATCAAAAAGATTACAGTTCACTAAAGGCTCAGCTGATAGTTAGCACTTTTTAGCAATGCCAACATTTTTAAATTAAAACATGTACTTTTTTTTTTAGACATAATGCTATTGCACACTTATAGTTAACAGTATAGTATAAACATAACTTTTCTATGCACCGGGAAACCAAAAAATTTATTTCAATGTTCTGTTTACTGCAGCATCCTGGAACCAAACCAACAATATCTTGAGGTATGTTTGCACACTTGATCCTATAGATCACAGCACATAATGAAGATTCTCTTTTTTAATTCAGATTTTCCAAAGCAATCTTCCTTCTAAATTTAAAAAGCTAAAATTTACAGAGCTGGTTTTTGGATGATTCATAGTCCCTCATCATCTGACAGACCAAAAGTCCTAACCAGAACTTTTCCAGAAGGATGGACGTCAGCTCTCTTGACCCTTCCACAGACATTTTCAAAAAAGAAAACACACACACACACACACACACACATAGATGAAAACAGGTTTTTCTCAAAGGAAATCCCTACAAATGGGTAGGCAACTAATGTTTTCCTCTCCATTTTCTATTATTTTCAAAATCCTTTAAAATGACATATAATGTTTTAGACATAAGTAAGGCAACCGTACATTACAATATTTAAGGTCTCTGTCACAGAAGGTAGGAGAAAAACTCAGTAACAAATTGTCAAAAGTATTCTTTTGGTCTACTACAAATGTGCCCATAATTTCAAATCTGCTTGCTTCTATATCTTCATTCTCTCCTAAGATTCATTTTAAGGTATAGGGCTTAGTTATCTTTAGTTTAAGTTTAGATAAGAATTATGTTAGGCAAAAGTAGGGTTTTTTGACTGTAAGGGAAAGAGGTCACAGTATTTTCATACCTAATAGCTATCAGATCTTAGAAGCAAAGCCAAAAGCTATTAAAATGAAAACACACAGTTAAAGAGTCCTAGAAAACATTATATAAGCCCATCTCTCTCGTTCATATTAACACATTTTTTAACTGAAAAAAACATGAAAATTACTGTTCAAAGGACTAACAATGAAATCAGTTCCTATAACATAAAAAAGTAACAATGATGAATATTTTATTATGATCTGGATAATGGCCAGATAGGCTAGTATAGCTTACCTTGGTACAAAAAGATTTTGCAGGTGTTTTAGTATACTTTGAACATATAGATTAGGCTCTTTAATAACTGGCAAAGGAATAGAATCTTTCGGTAACACTAAAGCCATAATCCAGTCGGTATATACATCAACACAATATTTTACAGTCTCTCCATCCAATGGAAGAGTCAGTCCATAGCAAATTACTTCCATGGTCCATTTTACCTAAACAGAGGAAAATATAGATATAGAATTATTACACATCCCTCCCTGTTTATCAGTAGACTATTTAAAATGTTAACTTCTTAAAAAAAAAATGTTAACTTCTTATTACCAAAAACCTCTCAATTGAAGTATATTCATCTCAACATAGATCAGATTAATTTTAGAAAATGCACCTCCCATGTATAAGACATACTCAAGACAACACTTTCTAAGCAAAAGATTTAAGAAAAAAAATTATGTACTTATTTCTAATTATCAAGCCTACACTGGCTTTCACCCCTTAGACATTATTGTTTGCTCTCTAAGATAAAAAGTACAGGTCATCTTGGCTTTCCACAGAGATTAGATGCACAGAAATAGAAAATTTTAGATATTTTCCTCCACTTAATTTGCATGTGGGTATGTGCCATTTAGGAAATCATTTACATAAATTTAATCATATTCCATTTTCAGATTATGCAACTTTAACAAACAACAGTAAGGAAGATGAACTGTCCAACTCTTACTGTGTGACTATTTTCATCTGGCAAAGAAAATAATATTTTAAATGGAAGGGCAAGATCAAACACAGGTCAGAAGGGACTGAAGGTGGGTAACACCTTAAAAAGGCACTTAGCTACACTAAATGACTTCCAGCCTCCTGACCTGTCTGAATCATAGGGGCTGAGAGAAATTGTCTAAGAGAGTGCTGAACCACTGCCAGCAATCATGAATGAATAAGGTACAATGAGAAGGGGGAAATTGTCCAACTTGCAAAAGAAGATAAAATTATATTCCAGATAATGTAGACTGGAAAGTTTAAGTGAATTCCAGACAAAACTCTGGGACAAATTACTAAGCAGATGATCAGTGAGTACTTATAAAAGGGAAGAAGGGTCAGTGGGAACTAGCCTGCTCAAAAAGAATAAGTCATGCCAGACAAGCTTCATTCCTCTATTAAGAGGGTTACTATGAAGGCAGCTGGTATAAAGCTGGTACTGATTTAAAATCAGTTTCCGAGGCACTTTCATAAATATTATCTAACCATCAGAATAACCCATGTGAGAGGGTAAACTATCCTCATTTTAGACATAAGAAAACTGAAGTTAAGCAAATTAAGCTATTTGGCCCAAAGCATCTGCTTCAAAATGCTGGAGCTGAAAACTAGATCCCTGACCTAGAAATCTAAAGCTATTCTCACCATGCCATTAACAGCCTTCTCCAGCAAAGGGGGATTTGGGCTTTAAGAAATTTGGTCCTTGTGCCCAAGATGGAGACAACATATAGTCCAGAAGAAGGTAGAATAGCTGGATTTGTAACTGGTCAAAATAACGTGGGAGACTAGCAGTGGATTACTGTAACAAGATCATTTTGGAAGAAGATGCCCAATGGCATGCCAAAGGCTCTGCCAAGATTTTAACTTAGAGAAAATCAGATTACATGCTGACCATGTGCAGAAATCACAAAACTAAAAAAATAACTAACCTGTAAAACAGAAATTCAGGATTCACAAAGATTTCAGCAGTTTAAAACTAAAGCTGAATTTGACAAGATAAATACCTGTACTAAAATTTTTAAGCTTAGAACAAAACTACAAAGGTCATAGGTAGAAAATATGTAACAACAGTATAATAGAAAATAACATGCCACAGCAATTAATGTTAAAAGCAACTATAACAACACTGTGAGGCTATCACAAATGAGGTGGGGAGGGGTGCAGAGCGGGATTAAGCTGAACAAGAGAAAGAATTTTAAAAGAGGCTGCCAAGTTCCTAATTATCAGAGGAAAGACCAAGGAGAAGGTATACCTTTGGTGATATCTTCACACAATAGTTCACTTACGTAATTTGAGAGGACACTGGATTTAAGAACTATTATTATCTCTTATTCTTTCGAGAGTAGAAAGGGCTGCACTGAACACCACCACCTAATCACATGCCATCTCTTCCCAGGAGAAGGCAGCAAGGAATTACAGATACACCAAGAAGAGAGAGCACCAGGGCAAGTGCTACTCCTCAGGGTAGGTCTCTGCCAGGGCACTCTGAGAAGAAAAGGCTCTTCAGCAATGAAGGGCTTCCCCTTTGGTAATCCATGGCCTACAGAGGGTAAATAAACTGCCTCCTGAGCTATAATCTTCAGTCTATCTAGAGTGGTCTTATACCTGGATTAAGTCTAATCTCTCCCTCAGGAGAAATCAGAACTTAAGTGAAAAGGGACGGGCAGGTTAAGTCCAACTTAAAGCAACTTAACTTTAATGTCAGTCCCCTGAACCCAAGAACAGAGGACCAGCTCCAGGCCAAGCCACTCCAAAAACTCCTCATCTTTAGGGACAGCAAACATAAACTGCATTCCAACCACTTGGGCTCACAGCCATACAGACAGAACTGCTCTGCAGTACTCTCAAACTTACAGGTCAGGATGGAGACAGCGAGAGAGCCTCAGGCTCAATGCACATGGGTAGCCTGAAAACCACACAAGACAGGCCTTTGGTCAGAGGCCTTTTAGAGGTAAAAACGAAGATCTTCCAAACACAACCTGTGAACAGAAATCTGAAGACTGAGCCTAGAACTTGGGGACACGGGCCTGACATCCTGACATCCAAGTCTGCTCAGCACACAGCTCAAGTGGAGAAGGAGAACTGGGTCCAGCTAGCAGAAGTTCCAACAGCACAGTGGTACAATCTATTCCATGAACAAACTCTGAGCTCTAACCCGCAACCCAATTAAGGTCAAACTAAGAAGTCACACTCCACTGAGCAGAAATCCATTTTAAAAGTGTGTGTTAGTTGCTCAGCTGTGTCTAACTCTTTGCAACCCTATGGACTATAGCCTGCCAGGCTCCTCTGTCCATAGGATTCTCCAGGCAAGAATACTAAAGTGGGTTGCCATTCCCTCCTGCAGGGGATCTTCCCGACCCAGGGACTGAACCTGGGTCTCCTGCATTGCAGGCACATTCTTCACTGTCTGAACCACCAGGGAAGCCTATAAAATGTTAAATAAATTATGCAGTAACAAACATATTTTCACATAGTAGAATGAAATGAAGAAACACTTACTTCTTTGTCAGTTTTTAACAAACTCTCACTCCCAGCCACTGAAGGGGCACCTAAGGCCTGCCCAAGAGGATGCACCACCGCACTTGCCACCTCTCGCCCAACGCTTTCCGGATAGCTGTGCAGCACACTGGTGTGGCCCTGATCATTCTGAATCACCAAATGCAGCGACCTCCACTCAGAGTACATCGTGCCGCTAAAGAACTATCCAAACGGCACCTGAAAAGACAAAAGAGAATTCCACGTCAGATTACACTGCTGGAAGCTAATAAAAGTAACTAAAATACATACTTACCCTACATAGCACGATAAAGCAGCTGCCTTGAGATGACTGAGGGGAAAAAAAAAACCACCTAAATGTTTTGAGAATGTTCTCAATAGCCTCTTGGTGAGATAAGGCAGGAAAGGCAGACCCTGGGAAGCAGCTGTCTGAGCACCTCCCCAAAAAGAGCCTTCAGAAGCCCAGAGGAGAGCTGGGGCAGATGGCCACCGTGCAAGGGGATAAAATAATCAGATCTGGGGCACTCACGGCATGAGGGAACCCTCCTCATTCCATGTTCCAGGATGGAAAAAGATGGAAGAAGGGTATGCTCCAAGTAGAAAAGGGAGACAAAGGAAAGGGTTTACTCCAAGCCACAGATTTTTCAGTCAACAGTTTCCAAGTTCCTATTACATGCTAGGAACAGACCCCTGCAATTTCCCACCACTGCCCTTAAATCAGATATAAAATTCTTCGAGAACATTTCATTCTCTACAGCAGTGGCATACCCTCTTCTGGTAATGGAACACCTGGAACTCAGTATCCTTCAGAAAATCTATTAAGACCTGCCACTTATTGAGCATATATTACCTACTGCGCATGAAAGTATCACAACTCTGTGAAAATTAAGTCACATTATCCCTATTTCACAGATGAAAAAACTGAGGCATAGAGAGGTGTGCTGCTTCCCTGAGGCTTCAGAACCGTAACATGATAGAGCTGGGTTTTGGGTCCATATCTGTTGCGCTCCACGGACCATGCTCTTTGACCGGAGCACGTACTGCCCCTCTCTAGCCTATAGATTCTCCACGATATAGACTGCTTTTCCCAGTGCTGTATATTCTCTATGAAACAATATCTAAGTCTACTACACAAATAAAAAATTATAGCCACAGAAAATGTTATTTATGTGATTACAATGTAAATATTATAATCACAAATGCCATATTCATGAAGCAAATCAAGGATGATTGGTCCTTTCCAATTCATTTCTGTAAACTTTCACTTTCTACTTGCTCTGAAATCTGTTGGCCCAACCAACAGAGTTTAAGGGTACATTTATTTTTTTTTCCATTTATTTTTATTAGTTGGAGGCTAATTACTTTACAATATTTTAGTGGTTTTTGCCATACATTGACATGAATCAGCCATGGATTTACATGTATTCCCCATCCTGAACCCCCCTCCCTTAAGGGTACATTTAAACTTTAAAAAGTTCCATCCCTTAAGCTAGTTTTTCTTCAAATGGGTAGCTTTGTTTAATTTTATCTTAGAAAACCTCATTCCGGCTCAACAAGTACCAGTGTTTTTTAAGAGGATACGGCCCTCCTCTGACAAGAGTCCCTGAAAACACAAAAGCAGAAGGGATGAATCAGCATCAAACAAGGTACCTACAATGTGAAGGATGGGTGGATATAAGACTCTATTAAAGTTGCCTCAGTCTCCTTAGGATTTATAAGGAACCCCCGACAAGGGTATCCTGGTGTCCCCCCACACCCTGGCTGCCCTAAAATAACTCTCTCAAAACTGGAAGAAAAAAAGGGGAAACTCTGATAGGGTGCGGGGAAATTCTGATAGGATGCCATTCCATCAGAGGACAACTTATACCCACACATTTTTTTCTCACCTTTTTAAATAAGCATATATACACATAAATACATATACATATAGTACACAGTATAATATACATACACACACTATAATCTCTTACCTAAATGCACAGGAACATTATACTACAGTGTTTTTTGTTTTAGTGTGATTTTTCACCCTTTTCATTTGTTTGCCTTCATTCCCTAGCCAAGTAATTCACTTCCCAGAATAGATAATCCATTTAAACAACCTGACATGTCCTCTTGTATTTTGCTCAGTCATATTAAAATAATTTATATACACACAAAGCTAGGAACTATATACTTTTTCCCATTCACCAGTACTTCACAAATATACTTCTTTCTAATAACAGATTCTTTTTCATGGTAATGTACTATTCTAATTTATTCAACCAATCTCCTAATAATGGTTTTTTCAGGAGAAAAAAACTAACATATTTATTTCATTTCCTATTTTTTTGTAATAAATAGAATACTCCTAATATGTTTACTTCATTTCCCATTTTTTGTCACTAGGAAATAACAATGCAAAAAATAGGCTTGTTTATATATCCTTAATCACTGGCATTTAAATTTCTACAAGGGAAACTACTGGATCAAAGAGTATATGTATTTTTAATGTTAACAGGTCTCGCCAGATCGCTTCCCCAAAAGCTGTAATAACTCCCATTCACATTAGGAATGGATGAGAGCCTTTCCATCTTCTTACTCCCAATCTTTTGCCAAGAATCAGATTTACTTATGTATTTATTTATTTGCCAGTTTGGAGGTATGAAATGAAATTTCACTATTCTAGCCAAATATATTTTTATTTTACACCTTTCTAGTTTTGAGTCTGCCTTAGACGATTTCTCCCTCCTATCCTTCACATCAGTGCTTTTCAAAACGTGGGTCATAAAATAAATGTAATAGATAATACTTTTTAATTATATGGAATAGAATATATAATAAAGGCACCATACACAGTAAAGGTAAGCAAAGTTCTGTGAAATCTTGTTTCATTTTTTATATATGCGTACGTTCTGGGTCACAATATAAAATACATAAAATATTTATTATGGGTCTAGGTCCAAAAGTTTAAAAACATAACCCTAAAATGTATATACATAGTCTACTAGATTTCCAAGAAAGATAATTTGGTCCTCACATTTAAGTTTTTGCCATCTGGAATTTACTTCTATAAGTGTTACAGGAAAGATCCAATTTTATTTCCTTTAAGATTTATAGTCAGTTGTGTCAACATCATCTATTAAAAACACATCCTTGGGACTTCCCTGGTGGTCCAGCGGTTAAGAATCTGCCTTGATTAGCCTCCAACTAATAAAAACAAAGGAAAAAAAATAAAAAGAATCTGCCTTGAAATGCAGGGACATGGGTTTGATCCCTAGTTGGGGAACGAAGATCCCACATGGAGTGGAACCCTTACAACTACTGAGCTCACACGCTCTGGAGTCTGAGCACACAACTAGGGAGCTCGAATGCTGCAGCTACTGAGCCCGCACACCACAACTAGAGTCCGCGCACCGCAGCAGAAGACTCTGAGTGACGCAACTAAGACCTGATGTAGTCAACTGTAAATTTTTTTTTTAAATCACACCCTTTCCTACTGACCTGAAATACCAATTTGTCATATATTAAATTCCCATTTATGTAGAAATTTACAAACCTCTTCTGTTCAACTATCTGTCTACTTCTATGCTCATGTTATCATGATTTAAATTCAGTGGCTTTAGACAATGTTTTAGTATCTAGAAAGCAAGCTCCCTTTACCTTGACTATTTTTTTTCCAAAACTTCCTTAGGTATTCTCAGGCATTTACTCTTTTATAGAAAATTTAAGATGATTTTATCCAAATAAAGGAAAAAACCTTGCTGAAATTCTAATTGAAACTGCTTATCCACCTTCCCAGTTTTATCTTCTACTGCCACTTTCCCATCCCATCCTCCAAGCAATGGCCCCAAGAACTACTGATGATTGCTCAAACTCAACAAGTTTTTTCACACCTTATTATTACAACTCATGCTGTACCCCACTTCAATCCACCTTATGAAGTCTCTACCCTTCAAGGTACAGCTCAAGTATCCTCTTTGGGAAAACTTTTTTTTTTTGATCCTCCAATCACCCCTCTACCCCATCTCTGAGTGCCTATTACAGGCTATGCATTTTAAGTGTCACGTTAGGTTATTCGTTAGCTTTGTAAAGATATCTTTTACCACAAGTGTGTCAACCTTTTTTGAGGGGAAACCTCACTTCCTGAATCTTTGAGAAGTCCTCGGCACACAGTGCGTACTGAAAGTTTTAGAATGCCAAGGTTTACCAATGGGGAAAAGGAAGATGTTAGAAGCTGTTCCCTTTATGCCATCGAAGGAAGTCCAAAATTTTACAAGCTGTATACAAACAAAAAATTGAAAATGTCCATTTGCTGTAAGGTATTTATTAGTTTAAAAAAAAAGTAGTTGGAAGGTTTCCAAATATTTAAGGAATATTTAAGTAATATTTAGTGTCCATTCCAGGCAATACATTATTGGAGCGGAAAAAGTGTTTTAAGGAAAAAAAAAGACAAGCTAGCTTTCAAACTCCACTGTACACATAAGAATAGCCCTTCTAGTTTAAAATGCAGATTCCAAAACTCCATCCCTAAAAAGCTTGATTCTATAGGTCTGGGTTAGGGCCTGGGAATTTGCTTTTAAGAAACAGCTACCATCCTTCTCAATTCTGAAGTATAGACAGGAGTATCTTTCTTGAAAAACACTCTGGAAGACCAATCAAACAGGACTGCCCCCCCCCCGGAGGGTATCTGGGAAACATTAAGTGCACTTCTGGTTAACATTACGATCAGGGCATGCTATTGGTTATTTATGGGCAGATCCAGGTTACTTATGGGCAGATCTTCTTATAGTTCAGAAGACAGTCCTGCACAATGAATAATTATACTACACTTATGCTACATTTTACCTGACTTTCTAATGTCTGCTAGAAAAATCATTGTGTTTTCAATTGTCTAAGCCTAAAAATCTAACTTTTACTCATATATACAAAATATTTTGTGGTGTTTTAATGTACACCAACACAATTAACCCTGCAAACTGAGGAAAGTTTTTCATGTTCAGAACCTTACTATACCAAGAACTGTTCACCATTTCAGAACAATCACATCACCAAAAGTGATAGCATTTTGTGGTATCTGAGTTGCTAATACCACACACTGCTTTCAGGAACACAATCACAAGAACTTCATATATACTTAGCCCTTATTTCAAAATGTCAAATATGAAGTGCCATATTACTGCCTTACTTCTCAATTTATAAGCAGACACAAG